CTTAGTGTATTATACTCTATACTCTAGAGTATTATACGCTATTCTTAGTAGAACACATTTGCTTTGCACATTGTTTTTATTACTATTAGAAATGCTGCACTGCCGTACTGTAATAAAGTTAATTACAGCAAAGTAGGAACAGACCAGAAAGTAAATTAAGTATACAGCCCTGCACATACTGTGGAGACAGCAGGGGCTGGTGATAAAAGGGTTTTTTGCCTGCTGCTGGCTGGAGGTGGGGGGTGTGGATGGAGAGGCAGCTGTTGTCACACTCCCTTCTCACTCAGCCACCTCACTCTCCTGCTCCTGTAGTTTGTCAAATTCCCTGTCTTCTGTTAATTTCTTTGTTAACCTTTTCCTAGAGATAACTGATGACTTAGGGGACCACTTAGGTTTTTATTTTTGTAATTTAATTTTTTTTAGTTTGCAGCGTAATGCTCACATATAGGGGACTACTCTCATGACAGGTCTACAGGCAATGGACATCTATCTAGTGTTTCATATCAAAATGAATAACTAAGCAATGGTGTTCTTATCTGTTTGTTAACCAAGCTATGCCTTTACTAGTTTGGGTGAAGAAGATACGCGAGATGAAAGTGCTGCAAAATGGGTGCCCGCATTTACTCTCCTACTGCGCAGTCCACAAATACGTGCATTTTGTCCACAAATAAAATAATTTTGCTCATATAGGCGAAATCACGAACATGGTGTTATTGGTGGTGTTACTGTATAAAGAAGGAAGCCATAGTAGATTCTGTCCATCATCGGTCGCACAAAATATATTGATACTTTTTTGTTCTGTTTCTGAACTACTGAAACGCTAAAATGTGGAAGATAGCACTTCATGAAAATCCCTAATTTAACACTTTTTGTGATATTATTGAGTGCTCAAATAGGACTCCTACAATAGCAAGCACTATAATGCGTTAGTGAAAAGCCTTTGTAGTGTACTGCATACTGTAATGCCAAATCTGAAATCTGGACGAATCCTATTATAATTACAACAACACATGGGTGTTTCTCCTCAGTTGCAGTCGGGGCTGGAGGCCAATCGAATCTTGCTTCAGTCTGTGTCTCCCCTCCCTCACAAGACGACAAAAACAAAGAAGAAAAAGGGAGCTAAAGTAAGGATCACGCAAGGCTTTGCTTTTCTTGGCTTTCTCTACATGCAAATTAAAATTGGAGACTGCTGTTTCTTCAATACTTTCAGAGAGGAAAGCTGATTTAAATAATGAAAATCTTGTACAGTACCGATTTAGGTGGGATTTTTAATGCACTTTAGCATTGCGATGGGAAACTATTAATGTAATCCTCTTCATTCCTTTTTCTAACCATTCAGAAGCTTTTAGTTCCTTGTGCACTTCACCTCCGTAAGTGCATTTATTTTTAGTTTCCATTAGTACCCCAGATCTGCACACCTATGCAGTCTGAAGAAATCAGAATGACAAATATTTTACTCTCTCCACTAGAAGCCCCAACAGCAACAATACTCACACACTCAGCCTCATTACAGACTCAGCCTGGGGGACGTGCCTTTTGTGGCAGGAAAGGTAAGATTAACCTGAATGTTCCTTTTTTTATAATACTTTCAGTCTAGGACAATTTCTAAGTTTCTGTTAGTCAGGTTATGCATATATAAAGAAGGGAATTTTATGCACAGGAAGCAATGTTCAGTGTACATTGTTCAATGTAGATATACAGATGAATTCCTAAAAAGGGCTGTATTTTGTACAGCTGTAAAAAAAGTTATTGACCCCCGCCCCCGTCATCACCCTGCTGTCTACTTGCTCTCTGTCTAGTCCACAGGCTCCAGTCATTCTGTTCGAGCCAATGTCCAGCATGTCTTGCACCTCATGAAGCAGCACAACCGACAGCTATGTAATGACCGGGTGTTAAGTGAGACGCCGCTGGCAGGGAAGTCTTCCTCAGGGTCCGCTTCTGCTAACAGGAGGAAGCCAGATCGCAGCTCCAGCAGTAGCTCTTCCTCCTGCAGTGAAGAACTGTCAGAGCTGCTTTTAGCGCTGCAGGATGAGTTTGGACATATGAGCTTGTAAGTGCACTTTGAAAGATTAGTTATTTCTGTGGTGCTGCTTTTTTCTGAGCCCGTTTCCTGCATGGTTTTCAAGACCTCTTGGGTATTGTGGGTCATAAAAATCTCTACAAAGAAGTGGTTCCTGTACAAAGTAAGAAATCCTGAGCCTTAGACCATGCGCATGTCATAGGCTTATATTCATCATAATACATATATCAGCTTTATTTTGCTTCCTCAGTAGTTAATTTTAACAAAAATATGTGCTATGTTAATTACATAAAGATGGTAGCTGAAAGATTTGTTACTTGATAGTCATTTTTGCATATGCAGACTTAGAACTGACTATTAAAGTTGTCTTGTCTTTCTGGCAGTGAGCATCAGGAACTAGTTAAGCAGATTCAGGAGGTTCGGTCAGACCACCTGCGCCATGATCTGGAGAGAGAGCTGGAGGCCCTGGTCAAGAGGATGGAAGGCAAGGGGGAACAGATCGCCAAAGTGCGCAGGCACCAAGTGCAGGTCTGAGTTGCCACAGTTTCCATTATACAGAGTGTTACTACTTACTATAGGGAATATGGACTTCTAACTGGCCTCCACAAATAGATATACCAGGTAGTTTTACTGTGGGATGGCAAATTACACATCCTTATTGAAATTTAACATTTTAATGTATTCCTTTATCTCCATTCTTACCTACCCTGCAAGAAAAAAAAAAACAACGAAAATGTGAGCATGTGTGAAATTTCTTCTTAAGAAAACCAAGTTGGATTGTGTTGCTGAGTGGCTTTCACTGTCACTTGAATGATGCCAGTTCTCTTAAATACGGCCGTCTTCCAGTGTTCCTGTCATCGTGCACACCCTGTATTGTCAAGATGCATTATTGAAACAAAAGTATACAAAGCTCTAAGTACATAAAACCTTAGACATGTGCAGGAGTGTCTTCCATTTCAAGGCGTGAGTATTCTGTGGCGTGTGTTGCAGCTGGAGAAGTTGAAGAAGGAGGCCAGGAGGCAGGGGGGTAAGGGCAGAGGGCAGCAGAGTGAGCTGGGGGAGGTGAAAGTCACCACCACAGTCACCACGCGAGGGAGGTCAGCGGGGCCTGTCAAGGCGAAGCCGGGCGAGAGGAGCAAGGACAGTCTGCGCCTGCTCAGGGACATGCAAAGCCTGCAGACCTCTCTGCGCAAGGAACACATCAGCTGGGATTACTGAGGAGCCTTTCCAGCTGGGGGCCATGGTCAGTTACAGTTAGCCACGCTGACAAGTAAGTAGCTACAGCTGCACACAAATAGCCAGGCCGCTGAGGCTGGTTTTTATGTACTCTCTAAGGTTAATGGGACAGAATGATAAATGGACTTGCTACACATCGGTGCCCAATGTTGTCCATGTGCATTATCTTGTGTTCTTCCTTTAAATCATGTTTTTCTGCTGGCTGAGGCGTAGGATTGGCTCACTCGTCTTCATAATCCTGTGGCCGATGCGGTAGGAATATCGATTGTAAGCTGAAACTACTTGACAGTATGGATGTCTTTAACTTGATCGGCACCCTGCCACTCAGGGCTACACAACTGCTAATTGTAACATTACCCTTTCCTTTAGCTATTGATAATACAGAGAAATGCCTTGAGGTGCTCTAATGCGTGTCTGATCTGGCTTAGAGCGTAATGTTTCTACCTACAGTATGTATGTTATTCTTGCAAGCATTTTTTTAAATAAAGTATTTATTTTTTACATTAATGTTTTGAGAATACGTTTCCATATGGTTGGAAGAATTGTTTTTTATTGCAGTTGAAACTATTATTAGTGGAAATCACATTCTGCTGCAAAAAAAAAAAAATAGCTGAATCTTTGGATTTTACGTACAATTTAAGATATTTTTTTTATTTCAGTTAGTGGTTGTATCTATAGATTACTGAGAAAATAAAGCCATGTCAAAATCATTTTATTATACAAGATAAGGGGTTGTTATTTCTGATATAAGGTAAGAGGTCATACAAGACTGTAGGTACATTGTATACAGGTGGTGATATTGGTGTACTTGTAATGGAAATCACAAAATGCATAACTATTCAAAACAACTAAAATAGCTTTATTTGTGTAAAAAAAAAACCACAAAACAACTTGAAATGAGGAATGGCAACATTCATTGTGGAATGAAATGGAAACAGTCCTACTAATCTAGGTACCCAGGTGCCTAATATTTCACTTTATGGCTTCACTTCATTATTGTATGGGACCAACAACAACTGTAACTGAGAAAAAATTCCCATCTCACAGAAATTAAAAACAGTTGATTATTCAAACAAATTGTTAAAAGAACAATAAATACAAACTCGATTTAACATCTTTTCAAAATAGTTCTTGTACACCGCGCAACATTAAAATCCCACATGTACTCATATTAAAACCCAAGTAAACATCCTCGAGTCCAACAGTAAATTCAACCATTAGTTTTAGTATCATTGTCTTCTTTTAAATGATATTTTCTTGATGGGGGTAGTGGGAGTGTTAGTGCAATGTAATAAGTGCAAAGTAGGCTAACTGCACAATTGGTTACTTTGATCAAAGATTCATAATTATAAGTAAACAGCGTACAATAAACCATGAAATATATAAATATAAAGATTTCAGTGGAGTAAACAAGGGTAAGCATTGAAAATATGTATATGGTATATACTTTGTGTACTCTGCAATGTGGAATGCAACTGATTTTATGGAACATGTCACAGTTGCTGATCTATGAATAACACTTCTCTTTAAAAGTGTGAAGTGTCACAACATTCTAGCACCAAAAATGTACTTTGCCATGAAAATCTTAAATAATATAATTTAAGGATCTTAGCGTTCCGGTTGGAACTTGGGTATATGGCTTAAGATTCTTCAACAATGTATTAGAACTAACTGTACATGAGTTCTTCACCACTCCAGATTGGTCTGATTGAAATATAAAACAGGTCTTCTTTTATCCAGACAACTTTCAAGTATCTACTGCAGAGAGTGAGCCTATAAATGAAAACCTCTTTTTGTGCAAGGCTAAGGTTAGTCTCTTTTTCTTCCTTCATGTTTTGCTAAAGTTTTAACAATAACTCCCAAAGGTTTCTCAAACTAAATCCTAAATTTAGTGCAAAAGCACACACTGTAACAGAACTCAAATGCTCCAGTTCAACCAGGGTCATCCAGCTAATACTCCAATGAGTCCCCTCTCCACACAGTCTCATATTCCCTGTACTATTATAACAGACCTACAGGGCAGATCCAGCAGTTAAATAAAATGAGAAATGAGTGTTTTAAGAACAAGGTCCTACTCCACTTTGGCCATTGGAAAAAACAGCACTGTTGCAAACAAAGGGTTAAAAAAAGGAAATAATATTGTTCCACTTGAGAGTAGGAAGAAGAACACTGTGTAATATTAATTTAGCAAGAATTCTATATTCCTGTTGGCTCTGAATATTTAAATTATTAACTAAATTAATGACTAAACAATGTGTAAATATATATTTTTTTCCCAACTCCTGGCAAACCTGTGAAATAATAAATTAGAGACACATCAAATTTTGCATACATTTTCAAGGGGATTTAGCTTGATAAATACAATAAAATTAACGAAGAAGGCTTGCCAGCAGGTGGTATTAGTGAATATTGTAATTAACCTCTAACAAAGATGCGAGATCACCACCCAGAGGTAACTATAGTCTGGCTATCGTGTGAGGCAGTCAATGGCAGTCCAGTTCCACTTCTGAATAATAAGAGTCTTCGCATAGCCATTGGAAAAGCTCGATCTTGTGCTGGGCTTTGTGTCTCCTAATGCAAGTTTTTTTTTGCCAGAGAAGTCCCTGCAATAACGTACTACAGTGCAGTGCAGTTGTATGTTGATCATAAATACCGATTTGTTTCAAAGCAGCACGCATGGTAGCAGGTGCAGTGACAGAGCCAGCAAACCTGTGCCCCTCAGACAAACGTCTGCACTGGCGTGATGGAGCGCGTTGGAGAGCCCGCCCTCTCGGAGGAGGAAGACACTGAGCGGTTGGTCACCTCGCGCTGCAGCTCCTCCACCTTCTTCTGCAGCTCCACCCTCTTGGCCAGCAGCTCCTTGTAACGCTGATGCACGGGCTCCTGGAACGAGAGGCATCCTTCAGGCACTGAATGAAAACAGCAGCTTGAAAGAACAGGAGTGTTCAGCTATGCAGCACAATTTAACACCGGCCAGGCTGAGGGACCCATAAAAACACCATTCTAAAAACTGCCATCTACAATGCCAAATAAAATAACAAAGGCTTCAGTGCATAATGAATTTAAAATCAATACAGTGCTGTATTGTAATATTAATAATATGTTTTGTGGATAGTCAAGAGTCTTTCAGTTATCCATCTTACACAATCATTAAATAACACTGCCCCTAAGAATGAATCTCACTTACATTTGAGGGTACTGTTAGGAAAAAGTAAATTTTAATGACACTACTACCAAATCAAATTTAAAGTAGTCACAAGTGTCAAGTCCTTTAAAATCCAGTTTTCCTTAGCATCATAACTCATTGGCTCAGCTCTTTACCTGAGGCCTCATCCGTGGGTTCCACCTGATGTAGTAGCCCACCCAGAGCTCCAGGTGGCGCATGCTGACCACGGGGAAGAGCACATGGTTGGAGTAGTTCACATACAGGGGGTTGGTAAAGTCATCCAGCTGGCTGTTAATGTAGGACCACAGCGAGACTGCTCTTTTCTGCACCTCCTGTAGATTGAGTCAAAACGTTCCCATTTCCTTAGAAGCATACTGTACATACATCCTGATAAACCTTTCAACCTAACCTAAATACCACATGTATGTATATGTTGTTCTGTCAACATAATTTTAATGCAATTCCAGCTGTTCTTATTCAAAATTTCTTCAGCTGGCATTAATAATGTAGAAATCAGAATTCTGATCACTTGTAATTGTGTGAGCGTAGGTGAGCTACTCCTCTGTGCACATTTACCTCTTTCACCCGCTGCTGTTCACTGTTACACAGGAATGTTCCAAAGAGACAGCTGTAGAGGTGGTCCAAGATTGTGATTAGAAAGTATTCGTTGAACTCAAATGCCGCAGGAAACTGCAACACAGCAAAGACACCCAGAAGAAAGACAGGACGTAATTAGCGCCTGATAATTGACATCAAACTAAAAAATAAGAAGCTACAGCAGGAACACGGGCTCCTCTTTCAGCTGGCTTAGAACTATGAAAAGCGAACAGTTCCAATGAGTTTTATACCCGTATTGGTACTTTGGACGTTTTGACACAAACCGGTCGTCCACAATCTTTGCATTCTGCCTTGCATATCGCTTACCTGTCTTGTCATCTGCCACACGCAGTCTATGAACTGCAGGAACACTGGAGACCGGTCTGCATCTGTGTGGTTCTTATCACCATGCCCAACTCTCTGAAGAAGAGGGGAACAGAGAGATCGCATTAAACATCTTCAACAGCAGCCACTAGATAATTGCTGGCCGCATTTGGCCAGGAGGACAGAGAAGCTGCTAAATGCCTCCAACCTTTAGGGATGACGATCAGACTAAACTGTCTAGCAGTCCCATGACAGACTTGGAGATTAAGGTAATTTTTATACAAAAAGAGTCATAGAAACAAGATCCTGGGCGAGCGTGCCCCCCCCAAAAAAGGGGTGAATTCGGCCAAAATCAAAGGAGATCAGACGAGCATCTCATGTATGTTGAAGCCCCATCAATATATTCAGAACTGCTTATAGAAAATCTAAGGTGGTTAAAAACCTCAAGGGTTAGTGCTAAAGTCTGTGTTTTAAAGGGCGTGCAGTACCAGCTGGAAGCGGTGTCCGAAGCTCAGCCACTCCTTCTCAATGAGCACCTCAAAGCCGCGGATGGTGCGGTAGTAGCTGTCGAGCATCAGCATGGAGAGGGAGGTGAGCTGCGCGGTGCGGTCCCAGCCGTCGCTGCAGTGGACCACCACCGAGGTCTTCCCCGACTCCACCTTGTCGGCTATGCGCAGGGCTCCAGCCAAGATCAGCTGTAGCGCAGGAGAGACGACACGCCTTCAGCAAGGGGGCTCTCAACTCTTCTGCAGCTTTTTTTCTTAAACGTGCAAACCGCCACCCCTAATTTCTCTCGGAAGCACAGCGATTGTGGTTTTGATTGTTTCTTTTTGGGTAGTATACAAACGTTTTATTCAGCACAGCTGGATCAAGCCAAAACAAAAATAAAAATAGGTAACTTATTAGGATAACATAAAAAAATCAAAACCAGCTCCTACTGAATAATGCACAGAAGAGATTTCCTTTATGTATGAAACCAGAATTCATCATTGAAGTTTTTTTACTTACAACTTTTCTTTTTGGCTAAGAAAGGCATAAAAAGGCCTTTTTCGAAGCTTTCTACCACGTCTGTAGCCTTTTAAATCGGATGCAGTCCTCTCTTCATCTCCATCCTAACCTTGATGTGCTCTAGCCAATGTGTGGATTCCAGGTTGGACAGCCAGTGGGACTCCTCAATGTTGGGGTAAACCACCTCCTTGAGCTTCCGCAGGGACTCCCTCATCACGTGGATGTTATGGATGTCCAGAAACACAAGCTCAGCGTTCTGATAGGCGTCTTCGCTCTCGTAGCCGCCACCCTTGGTCTGCCGAAAAAGTCAGAATGAGAAACTAGCTATACGGTAACGAGACAACAGGTGGAAAATTCCTGGCTGAGGTGTGCACAAAAGCAACAGGTTTTAAAGACGGTAGACGTTTCTTCTCTTTTCTGCTTAAACACAAAAAAAAGACATTGAAAAAAACACAAGCAGTTCACAGGATTCTCCAGTGATGCCTTTTGATCAAGTGAGCACCTGCTTTTATTCTTTCAAACACTGTGTTACTGTGCAATTTCCTCACAAATTAATGTTGACCAATTTTACTCTCCTGATGGATAAAAAGGAACCATAACCAAACGTGTGACGTTTTAAACGTATTATCCTTAACTGGAACATATAACCCTGACTTCCAAAAAACAAAAGATGTCCAGAAAGATGTAACGGCAACATTTATGTGTTGGCCTGTGCTGTGATGCAACTCCTTTCTGAAGGCAGGAGTGCAGAGTGCCTGAATAAGGGCCGCTTGCCTTGTTTGCGACGGCGTTAACACTGGGCCGAGCGTCAAAGATGAAGAGCTTGTGGGATTGAGCGTTGGCGTCCATGATGGCCTGCAGGTACTTCTCGTCCTCCTTGCTGCGTTTCCCATTCACCCCCACCATGGGCTGACTGCACCTTGTCACTGTGGCCTGACTCTCCGGGTGGATCCAAGACAGCACCTGGAAAACGAACAAGGCCCACAGCACAAGCATTTAAAACGTTTAAATTCATTGTATATTTATGAAATTCTTTCCACATTATGATAGGAGTGGTTTAAACACTGATATAAGACCCTAACCATTATAACAACTTCTAGCCTGTGCTTAGAATCTGAACATCACAATGTTTCTGTTTTTTTTCAGGTTGCTTACAAAATGTTCATACAGCACAGCTGGATCAAACCAAAACGCACACAAAACTAAAACCAGCTTATAAGGACATCATAATAATAAAAACACAAAACCAGTATGATCTAGATACTACTCGAGCTGATTCACATTTCTACAAATCATCAGTTGTGGGTACTTAGAGAAGGATATAGGAACGCTGTAGTAAAGGGACATATATACCGGGATTCGGCCTTTAGCTCGGAAGACGGCCACCCTCTTCAGTTCTTCGTCGGGAATGTTGACTGGCACAACCAGGGCAGCTGGGTAGGTGTCACACAGCTCATAGTGGTCATTGACCTTGGTTATTCTCCAGCTCTCATTGGGCAAACCCTACAGCAACCCCACAACAAACAACAGCACTGCCACCACACTGAAAAGTCTATGGGTCATAAAATTAGCCTTTGGTTTCTGTATTGCACAACAAACAACAATAGTATATTGTACATTTATTTAAATGGAATGGATCTATAAACACCATAGATTGAGGATGTTCCTCTAATAAAAGCATTTAGGACACCCTCAGAGTCTCTGAACAGAGCCTGGCTACATCAAGGGAAATGTGAAAGACATTCTAAATGAACTAACAAATAAATGCAAAGAGTCTAAGCCTCAAACCTAATGAAGAACTCATAAAGTTTAAAAATGAGTTACAAAACACTGTATCTACCTGTCTCTTGTATTCCACAATGGCATCATATACCTTCCAACCATTTTCAGGGAACAGCTGTTCATATTCATATGCAAAAATTTGCTGCAGCATAAAAAGGAAATAAGAACAAAGAAAACACAAAATGAAAAAGTTACTGGTAATTTCAGGCACATACAAGTAAACATCAGAAATTTTCAAAATCCACTGCATTACAGGAAAAAGAAAGCACTGAAACAAATCTGTCCTTTCCTGCACCTGCTAATCCAATATACATAATGCAAAAGAAGTCCCTTACCATGCCGTTTGAAATGGGAAATGCATATCTCATTAAGGTTTCGAAGATTGACCTTCTGTTGTGACCTTCCTGTTTGTGAGCAAACCGCAGATTTCGTATATCCTGCAAAAGGACAGTGCATTCATTTTAATGAAGTGAAACAAGCATAGAGTACTTCCAGAGAATGAAAAGTCATGAAATTGCTTACTGTATTCAAACAGCAAAATCAATACTGACAACAGTTCTGTCCTTATTTATCTGCACCTCCTAACCCAACAGACTTTCACTGAAGCACAAAAGAAAAATCGTAGGTCGTGTTATTGTAACAATCCCCACCGTGTTATTGTGTCAGAGGGCTAGTGCCTGCAGCACTTACTTTACAGACTAGTCCATAGGACACCTCACCACGACTTGAGGTTCCCCCAATCTTCTCAATGCGACTGATCACGCCCAGGGGAATGTCAAGGACGAATGGTGGATCCTGGTAAGAAGGGAAATTGTAGGAAACTCTTCATATATGATGAAAAGGAAAAGTGCATCCATTTTCATTCATGGTTTTCAAGAGCATTTGCTTTGCCACTATTGCTGGCTGTGCAGCAAATCCATGAAATGTTGAATGGAGGTCTATTCAACAGATGATACGCCTCTAATGCAATGCATAAAATTGCAATTTCTCCTATAAGCTTTTATCTATTCCCTACATTAGCTACAATATTCTAATGAAAATGAACATTTTCCTGTGCTCTGTTCAAAAACAATAGTTTAGTATGTGATATAAAATCCTCACAGTTAGGAAGCGCAGTGAGAGATCATACAGTAAACCATACAGGCAGAAGAAACACTTGTTGTAAATATCACGTGGATTAAGATTAAGAGCTGGATGGGAGGACACACGAAGGGGATCTGGCTGTTTATGTAGATTATTCTATGTCCACTTTAGGAGAATGCAGGGAAGCATTAAAAAGCACAAACAATGCTGTGATACACAACAAAACATGTCGATTGTACATCAAAAGAAGGGAAGTGCAAACTTAATAACGCATTAGTAGAATGCCCAATTGATACACTGTATTCAGTTTTGGTCAGCATACTGCAAAAATGATATTTCAGACTTAGAATTGGAAAAAAGAGCAAGATGAATGATTTCTTGTCTTAGAGAACTGTGTCATACACCATTGAAGAAACTCTTGTTAATTTAGAAAAAAGGATATTTGATCCAAATATGTAAAATCCTATAAGGTATAGCTAGGGTCAACTCAGGGTATGTATCGGACGCATTAGGAAAGCAAGGGCACTGGGTCATAGCTGGTTACTAAAAAGAACAGAGAACTGGAAACACTTCTTTACACATTTGTGAGTGTGTGGAACAGTAGTACCAGCCAGGTAGTTGAGCTGCGGGCTTCTCTATGGAAGATGGATTAAACTGTATATTCCCGTAGCTACTAACAAACAAGCTAAATGGTTTTCTGTCTTCTATTCTTATGTTTATGTATGGAAACACAGAAAAACAAAAGTTTATAAAAAAGAGCCAATCTTACCCGATCCATGCATTTGAAAAACAGTCTGTAGTTAGTAACAGTTAGCGTTCCTCTTATGGCACCAATAAAGGGACAGATATAAGTGACATCTTTAGCTGCAAAGTAAAGGAGCACAAAGCAGGATATAATAAGGACTTGAACAACGTAATGTGTAAAATCTCAACAAGAAATGAAACAGGAATTTCAAAACATATAAGTGAAGACACCCAAGAAGGACTTGTAGTGAAGCACATAAAAGGTATAGAATTCGCAGAGGCAATCATGAACTAGCACATCAGCCCATGTTAGAAAGAAAATATGGGCTTTTTTACTAGTATACTAATACAAAAAACAGAGGTAACATGCTAATAAATGTTGAGTAAGAGAGATCAAAGGCATTTTCATTACCAATTGCAAAGCAATTCATTACCAGTTCTAAGTCACCATCTTTAAAAGATGTCCAAATTGAAGGCTACCCACTGGAAGACCTACCCATATCCTGTATTGATTCCTTTGGTAGTAACTGAGGTTCTTCCAGTTGAGCCAATTTACTAGCCTCTCTTAGCACCTATTGTCAAAACAAGAGCGCTGTCATTCACAAAGCTTGCATGCCACACGTTGAGAGCATAAAGCAAAAGCAGACGAACACTGTCCCAAAGAAGGTATTCTAAAAACCATTCTAAAAAATTTACTTTAGGATCTCAACGCATTAAAATCACGAAACAAGCAGCATCAAGGCAGAGTTTAGAAAATGTACCATTACCACTGACCAGCACGTTCAACATCACAATACCACCACATTAAGAGGATAGACTAAGAAATAGTAAAGACTTAGCTATGTGTAACACTTACAAAGTGTGTGATTTACACGCGGTGAGTAATCCCCAATTTAAATGGCTCCATTCATTTACTTAAATTGCACAAAACTCATATATTACAAAGCATTATGTATCTCTAGCATAAGGTGTGTGTCCCTATAGGAAGGAGGCAGGTGGCTGAAAACAGTGAAATTCAGTAATAACTATAATGTCCAATTAATATAGTTAAATATTCCTGTATTTGGAAGACTGGTATCATTGGCTTCATGTGCCAGGACATGAGACCTATGACTTTCAGTTCTGAGAATTTCAGAACTGGAACATTCCAGATTGTTTCAGAACCACTTCTTAGACCTTAGACAGCAAAGAGTCAAAATGAACCACTGAGTGCTTTACCTTGACCTCCAGAAAGCTTTTACCCTGTTGAGAAAACAAAAAAGTCTGTAAATCTAAAAAAACTATGAGAATATCAGCATAAAAATATCAAACAATCATGAGTGTTGACTTGTAAGACTTAAAGTGCTACTTGACCTTTTATGCCTAGAAACCTAAAGCCTGAAACCAGATTTAATGACAATAATATTACCTTTGAAATTTCATTACAATACTAAAAGTACATTGAATTTTCTGCACTTGTAATACAAAAAGGTTTTTGTCTACTGGATTTGGAAATCCTATTACGAGTCTCCCTTTAAACATCCTGAACATGCAAGGCTGAACAATTTATATATTTGTTACACAATAAAGGCAGAAAATTACAATTACAAGACTTGCAGCAATTCCTCTAAGTAGCTCAAAGTATTTCATTTATTTTCAGCCTACAGCAGAACAACACAAAAAAAAAGTAAAAAAAGAATAAAGATTCAAAGAAAAAAAAGAAGCGATGTGAATGAAAAAAGCTGATTAACAAGACCTTCCATAAAGGTCCTCATGAACTTTCCCTCCCCCTGACTTTCGGGGAGTGTACACACGAGTACCTCTCAGCAATATACTGTACACACCCGGTGCTCTGGTGAGAGCTCTGCAGAAGTGGACACGGAGTCGGACGAAAGAGTCAGGGGCTGCTTTGTGTGAGAAGAACGATCTGAGCGAGAGGTGGACGTGCTGCGGGTACAAGACACCAGTGTCCAAATCCAGCGATTTATTGAGTAAAAAATAAAAGACCCCCCCTTACAATTTTTTTTAAAATCTGCAGTTGTGAAGCAATAACCATTGCGGCAACACTAGAACTACACCACCACTACAAAGGGCCTCTACAGTGTAGAGCGTTCTGAAAGACAAATTGTGAAACTTTTAATAACAATATTAATATTAAGAAATGACAACAATCCTCACATTAAGCACTGCTCTTTAAAAAAAACGCCCAGAAGTTCCTTTACATGTTTTTAAAAATATTTAATTATAGCTTTTCGATTTTTCGGACTAACTGTGGCGACAGATTTCAATTTTCGGGACCAGCCAAGCTAAAAGGGCTTTTAACTCATTTTACTTCTCATTAAAAAAATAAGGAAGATTACTCAAAATGTCACAGTGCAGAGAACGTTATTTTCGCGCTGTCGATTAGCCTGTGGAAGTGAAGATGTACTGTAATGATTTATCCAAGTTGACAGTAATTGCGGTGAGCGCGATGCTACAGCTACCGTAACGAACAGAACAACATCTGGAAATCTCAGAAATGAGCATTGCAATGGTTTGTTTTCAGTACTGTTAAATACAATTTAAGTGTTCCAGAAGGATAACAGCTGTTATTACAGACTATGACATTGCAAAAACAATCTGTACGTAGCTGAGCTCCCCCACCTGGATAATGAATCCACACTGGGCTGCCTGGAGGACGGTTTGGATCCGAGGCTATCGGTGCTTCCACTCTTTTCCATGTCTTTTATGTTTCGTTATGATCTCTGAATACAATGCCAAACTAGAGAACAGAACGAAATTCAAGTAACAGAAATATAAGAAAGAAATAAAATTAAAGAACAGAATGGACCCTAGCACAGCAGAAAGCTGTAATGCAGACAGGAAGCTGCCATATTTACCCAGAGTGCCTGGAAAAGTGAGGGGTGGGGATTGTTTACATCCCAGAAAAAGGGAATCGAAATTAGGAGCTCTGTGTAACTGAGTTGTGTTGGTACAGTGTAGTGGTACTGCAGTTACTGATAACAAACGTGTTGTTTTGTAGGCTTTAACAAACACTGTATTTCTGGTTGGTTTTTGTTCGTATTTTAAATAATAAAAGTTACTGTATTTGTATTGTATGGAGCAAATGAAAAACCGCCTCGTTTGTCTTAATCATGCTTACTGTATACTGTAGTTTTCGTATAAATACTGTAGTACGCAAGTCACTTATTTTCGAAGATGTAAAATTAATGCGAAATTGGCATACAATTTAATATTATAAAATTGCTACATTTAGAAATGTATGATTTCTTTGCAGTATTTTAAAACCGACTTTGCATTTCTAACCTGTTTCTTCCACGGAAAAAAAACATCCGTACACTAAACTTGAAGCTTCTTGCAATTTTTTAATGTAACCTAGGAAAGTGTTCGGTGTAGTTCATCAGGGCACTGTACTCCACTGGCACTGGGGAGAATCTCATGTATTTGGAATGCTTTATAAGACGTTCTGTTGGGAAACTACATTATACTTAATTATTAATAGTATAATAATAAAAATAATAATAATCTATTATAGTTACAAGTTACTTGTGTGACTTTCACCAGATTCTTACAAATTAAAGTTAATAAAAAGTCATGAGAAAAAAGAAAGATGTGACATATATGTGTGTAAGTCATTATTACTGTATCTTTAAATTATTACATTTATTTGAAAATTGTTAAATGTTTACAAATGAGGTTTTGAAACAGTGACAATGTACCTATTAAACCCAGTAATACATAATGCGCTGAGCTGTTTAAAACAGGTTTTCTGACTTTTCAGAAACAGGTTATAACATGTGGCAGGACCCCATATTGACCAATAGTATACAACTAAACTGCACTATACTATATATTAAAATACAATAGTTAAATAAATAAAAAAAACAATATTCTTTATATCCTTGCTTTCCGATTACCCATTTCCATTTCCATGGTGATTTTAGATAACTAAGAGACACCGCAGATATCAAAGTCAAATGTCCCTAAGTTTAAACCATTTAAACAATAATAATAATTTTGTAGTATTCGGTCAGAAATAAAATATTTGGATTCACTTACCTTGCTGGTGTAACTATTTTATACTTAATGTAATATAATACTTAATCTGATAAGGATAATGTACCCTTTAATACCAGTTAGGTCCATTACCATTATAAATCAATTTCTAGAACATTTGTCAAGAACATCATATTTCATTTAAACAGGATGACAAAAAGCCTCAAAATTACAGTATGTCTCCTCATGAAGAAGTTATGTTCCCTGTATTAAGATAGAACTATTCAAAACCTGTCAGTTTAAGCCAGGACCAAATGACCTTAGATTGCAAGACAGAGATCAGAGACTGAGCTTCGTGGTTCATATGACATGGAGAAGGCAATTTCAATCTGTCTTCAGGTAGCATAATAATAATAATAATAATAATAATAATAATAATAATAATAATAATAATAATAATGGCTTACGTTTATATAGCCCTTTTCTGGACATTCCACTCAAAGCACTTTACAGGTAATGGGGACTCCCCTCCACCACCACCAATGTGCAACATCCATAAAACAATTCAATAACAACAGAACCCTAGGAATAATCTAATCTGATTGATCTATTCCATCTATTCTAATCTACCCCTGTATTATGTAAAAAGAGCCCAGAAAGAGGCTATAAACTGCAGGTAGACAGTCTACTTGTGAGGTCTGTAAATAACATCAAAATATTTAACTATTAAATACATCAAATAGCTTCTGCTTATGCATTGTACATTGCTATGTATGAATATGCATTTGTCATTTGCTCCAAATACTGAATTTGTATGAAGCAGTAGGCAACAGAAACTAAATATTGGCATAACAATCACAGCATTGCTTCACATTAACATATAAAGATTTAAAGTATAGTGGGGTATACTGTGCTGATTCCTGGCCTCCAAAAATTGTGAGTTAGTGGAAAAAAATAAGTTAAATACATTGAATCAATGCAGGGTTCATACAAATAAAACTAGATTATATTCTTGCTGGGATAGGCTCCAACTCCACCATAAGCCAGAATTGCAAGATGTGGATAGAAAATGGACAGATACTTATACCAAGATGTGTTTGTGTTTACCACTGCAGGCAAAACAAGACATTTTCATAACCCTAGGTTTTGAGCAAGAAAACAATGGGGTGCCATCTCTCACCTGCTTATGCATCAGTTTTGACAAAGTCCGTCATACCTATTGATAATTCATGTTGATTACACACAGACACCCATTGTTATCAATGTTATTGTCTTGTTTCGATCTACAGTAGATATGGAGTGCTTGTCACAATGACAGCATGAAAATGTACCGTAGGAACACTTCGTGAAAACGAAATTTCACAGGCAAGGCTGAAGAGCTGTCCATGGTGCTGAAGTTTTGTAAAACTACCAGTGTGCAGAGCAGTACTATTGAATTTAACTGTTTGGGGGAGGGATAAGTAAATCGATTCCATTCCATGATTTCTTAATCCTAGTAAAGTGCTGGGAGAGTGGCCACTGAATAAAGAAGAAAGAAAATGGTTCTCTAGTAATGCTTAGATCATCAGTGTACTTTGCTCTTCTAACTCTGCTGCAGTAATACCTAATGTCTTAAGTCATTTATCTCTCCCTACACCTTCTCTCATGCTCTCTGCATTTTCTCTTTAACCACAACTATACTCCCAGTATTCCTGGTACTTTATACTCCCCTCTCTGCTTTTCCTCAGTGGTGGAATGACCTACCCACTGAAATCTCAGCTCAGTCTCTGGGGGCAGTGCCATCATAATTCCTTTTCCTTAAAAAGATCATGCTTCACTTTGAGGATTCAAGGGGAGCAATGTGGATTTTAAAACTCGGAAATCGATTTTACTGGAGTCTTTGTAGGTTATATCCTTCTTACTGGAGGTTTGGAAGTGATAAGCTAATGATGATCATAATAAGCGGGTACAAAATTCTGCATGTGGGAAAAATACATTTAAAACTCTAATAAGTATGCTCTCTTACAATAAGTTAGCATTATTTGAAAACCAATATAATTCACAAACCCAGGATACATATACTGCATAGTATAGGTACAATAACAGCTTGCAAAATTGCATGTAATGATGTTAACGATGACACACAAATTTAATTTAATGTAATCTTCAAGGTTAACTACTGCTTAGTAAATTAAAACTCTATATGGAATCCTTCAAAAGGCTATTTCTCTCGCTTCTGTAAAGAACTGTATGAAGATGGTGTTGGGGTGAAATTTTGACAGAAGGACAAGTATTTGCTAACATAAACTAAACAACTCTAACCTTTTTTAATTTATTAAAAAGAAGGGGAAGGACACAGCTTTGTTCAATGTATGAAATTTATTTAGATAAAAATTCATTTGCCTCTGCCTTTGTTCTGTCTCAGAAGACATGTATCCCACAGCTTGTGCACCTCTCTGAGAATGTAGTCCTTAACATGGCAATGAAATGATCCAATACAGACTCCCTTTACAGTATCTACAGAGATATGTACAAATGACAACACAAGGACAGAGAAAAAAGAAATTTACAACTTATGCAGTTATATAACTAAATCACGTGTTTTCTTTTTTATTTGGCTGCTTCTTTAAGATAAAGTTTAATTAAATCCAATCTGGAGACAACCCTGAAGCAAATCTTTCTTGTGGGTTTCTGACATGCTTCTATTCCGTCAGGAACTCAAGTGGGATACAAAATTATGCCACCCAAATACATCTATTAAAAAAGGCTACACCTCACATAAAAACAGTGTTCTTAATTCCATGTTTTATGACAGGTTACCATATTTGAATATTTTCAGGTAAACAAAACATTAAGAAAATTCTGAAATAATTGACATTCACTTCAAGCACTTACAAATTTATACAATGAGTAAATTCATCTCCTTGCTTGCTAGTTTTTTTAACATGTTTGAAAAACATTTAATTTTCATATTTACAAATCAGCTGCTAGCAACAACTACATATACAGTGAAGGCCAGAATTAACCATTTACAAAATGGGTCCAAGGTTGGTACGTTTATTTTTAGGTGAAATAGTGTAACAAAGGAGAGGTACATGTATACAAAAGCACCTCAGGAGATTTCATTAATGTAAATATATATATACTATATATAGAAGAGAATAAACTCAGAAAATGTAAGTTGGAATATATTCAGTAAACACCTCGAAGCAGGAACATCTTGTTATACAAACTAAAGTTACGATGAAAGAAAAGGAACAGAGTTTAGTCTTAATATGAATGTGAAAAGCAAAAACAGAAAGTAGTCAAGTTTCAGGCTGCAGAATGAAAGGGTTCAAGACCAGGGTCTAGTCTGAGGAACACAAAATCTTGTAGGCAGAAACTAGTGCTCAGCAATAGGTTACAGGAGAGTTTAGGGAGCATATAATAGGAACATCTTTTAACAGAACACAGGCTTTATTGTTATCAATGTTATCACTGATATTTACAGAGGCCAAATGTCTGAGTGCTTCAAACAGACTTGTATTCTGAAAGGATTTTAAAGTCACATCTGCATCTCCCAGGTGGCATTTAACACACTAACACACATTTAACATGATTAAATTGACACCATGGGTCATGATTCAGTTAAAAATATTCAAGGAGTTAACAATTTATTTAGGCATGGAAATAGTATTAGCCCATGATCACATACTTTAACTGTTGTTTTGGTTTGGCACTTTTCTGCCATTTAGTAATGTTGTATGTAAGCAAAAACTAAACCAAAACTAAATAATACACAACCCCTTAAAAGCTGACCTAATATTTCTTCTGTGAACAGTCTGTATTTAAATAGGTATAATTATCTACAATACTCGGTTTCTGCACAATAATTTAATTGAGCAGCTATGTAAAAAATAACAGCTTTACTGAATATTTCAGGAGATTGGCAAGAAAAAAAGGCATGCACTGTCCATTACCACTGTAAAAATAAACATAGAAACTGTAGATATATTTATACAACATGTCTTCTCTAAAGGCAACTCAGATACGGTAAGGCAAAATCAATAATATACACATTCTGGAAGGGTTCTTAATTGCCTTAAAGGGCCAGTAGCCCTTATTTAAAAAACCCTTGAAATGTATTTATATACACTCACACATTTACAAAAACTTATTTTTAATGGGAATAGTTTCCACATTTTACTCAAATACACAAACTGCTACATTCTTTTGTCTTTGATTCCACAGACTTACATATTATACTTATATTAATTGCACACACTGCAAAACATTGTGCCCTGGGTTAATATACACCTTCGTTAAATTTACTGTTATATTATGTTGGTTGGTATATTTAAAGGGATAGATTTGGTCTGATATTTAGTCTCACAAGTTGTCTCACAAAATAAGGGAAGAAAATTTAATACAATTGTTGAAAAAAATAAAATGGGGCTCTACAGTTTTTTTTACAGTATTTAAATAAAAACACACTGCGAGCTTTGTCCACACATACATTATTTAGCATGGGAGTATAGAAATATTTTACATTTTTATAGAAACCAGCTAATCTTTCAATTAGACAAATTCATTAATATCTAATGCACTCAGATATTATATAGTATTTAGCATGGGAGTATAGAAATATTTTACATTTTTATAGAAACCAGCTGATCTTCGAATTAGACAAATTCATTCATATCTAATGCACTCAGATATTAATGAAACCCCAAGGAGAAGAAACATACTGTAATTGGTACTATTTCATTTCAAATGTTTGCTTTCAATCTGTAATGTAGGAGTATAATTTTCCTCCCAAATGTAGCACATAAGGCATTTTTAACAAATAAATGCAATAACATTTTCAGCATAGTGAAAAAATTATATGAAATCTGTGAACATTTTCAAAGCCAAAAAGAAATATGTTAAAGTTCTCAATTAGTGTTTCTTTGTTCTGTTAATTCTCACTGGAGGAGACAGCTTCATTTTCAAGCATGGAAATATTCTGTAACTACCTGTCTCCAAGATGCAGTTCAGTTCAGTTCCAGCTTGGACTGCTAGAAGATTCATTTTGCCACAGATACCTGAACCCGGGAGATTTCCATCTGCTGCTTGATATTCATGTCAGATAGCTGTCATCATTAGCTTTTTAAAAAATAAATAAACCTTGTTCATAACTCAAACATCTGAGGGTAGACAGTTGTTTCTTCTTCAGCTGCCATTCTATAGGAAAATTGAAGTTATTTTCATATATCTACTAATAGAAGCACTTCTCTGTAATATTTAATGTGCTTTGAAAGTGCCTTTGTGTGCGTCTGTATCTGAGCAATTTCCTTTGGTCCCCAGAGATGGGTTTTCAATATACCATGGTAGGCATGGCATGTCTGTGGTCAGAAGTCAAAGCCTTGAAAGCAAATTGTGCAGGTAGTTTTAATAGGCCTACTGCTCTGTACATGCATTTTTATAATCACAGAACAATGCGTGATATCAGTCTCAGTATGTCTGAACTGTGTGTGTGACACTGATGTAAAAGTAAAACATAATCAAATAATACAATCAAAAGAGCAAAATACAGTGAGAACAAAAACTGAATAAGGGGATGTTAATTTACCAAGAAAGTCATTAAAATGTATGGAGAAACAGACTGTGCCACTGACGTAGTCTCCAACTTCCAATTGGCTTCAGCATACGGAAAAAAAGCCGAACTGACCAAAAACTGTGGATAGTAATATCTGTATTACAAAATCTAATAAATTGAAACAAACATTAAAGGGGACAGAAAAGTAAATATATTTGGCCTTATGATAATTATTTTATTATGTGTTTTTATCTATGTTGATTTATTATGTTTTGGTCTTGATATGAAGGAGCTATGATGTTGTTTCATTACTTCGTGAATAGACTTAAGTACATTTAAGAAGTTCTCACTTCAGCTACAACAAACTGTGAATCTGTGTGACTTGTCTGCATTACGTTCTGCGGTAAGTCAGAGGTGTAAATGCCTCTGAACATGGGGAACTCCTGGTTCACAAAAATGGTTAATACATACATACTGTATATATGTGGACAAATTTAAAAATAAAGTCCACTTCCAAGCACTAATTTCAATATGTAAAAAAGGATATGAAATCTGTGAAGATTGCATTTTGGCTTTTCAAAGCTGAACAAAGTAACACTTTATATTTACACAGCTGGGCTTACCACACATTACTGAAACAATGTGTTATTATACTAATGAACAACAGTACACTTTAGTATTAGCAGAACTTACAGCTCATACATTGTTTTAATAAACAGATTTAAAACCTTTTCCCCACAGTAATGAAACATAATGTAATGCACAAAGGGTCTCAGAAATAAAAATCTTATCTTTAATTTGTGGATATTACAATAGCAGTATTTTAAGCAGCTATGCAGTGCATATCAAAACTGTTCTGATGTTAAAGGTAATTCCCTTTATTAAACATAAGGTGTTACTGTTGGAATTGGAAAATACATACAGTCTCTAGGAGTCTATAACTAATTTCTAATTGTTTTTGAAATACAACCTTCTTGAATGACTCCCATGGTTTCTTTAGTTTCCAAGCAACCGTTCATCCTCAGAGTGTCACCTGCCTGCTCCTGAAGTTGTTCATATTCCTCATCCAAGAAGTCAAGGGAGTTGTTGCTAGGCAACCCACGGATGGTGAATTTATGAGAGACCTTGGTCCATTGGTCCCGATTGGCTGAAACTCGTTCATAAAGCTCAGTTGACTTGGGGAAAAGTTCTTGGAGCAGCCTTGCAGGGGAATTCAGGAAGAACACAAGTTATTAATGTTCACAAAAGTGGAACACACAGGAAAACCTCTCTGAAGGTAAGCTAAAAATGTATCTTTAATTTACCTAAGGTACACATAAAATGGATATACAGTACATAGAGGTTTTCATTAATTTGGTAATAAAAATCATTACTTAATTATAAGTAATGATTAAGTAATGAATAAACCTATTACTTGTTCCTTTGCAGCCTACACATGCTGACGCAGCTACCCACCAATAAAAATCATATATTTTTATATATTGACCTTGTTTGTTCTCAGTTCTTCAACCAACTAGTAGTATTTATGTTGTCTCTGTCTACAACGGCTTTTGGTATTGGGCTGTTAAAACCTTGTCTCTCAGATTGTTATTAGCCAAAAAATTACTTCAGAGTGAAGATGTATAGAAATATTTTTTCTGTCGTGTATTTTCTCTGAACTTCAGTAAAAGTTCAGAAAGACTGTTGGAAGTTTGTTGACAATAGGTATTATCAGTTTTTTTAAATCATCTTTAAGATCACAGAAATGGAATAAAAACCGGAACAGGCCTTCTGTCTCACTGTAGTTGTATTTATTCTGCTGTATGAATTTCAATATTGTATAGACAGTAAAGGAACAATAGGTTTATTCCAACTGAGATTCTGAGCTTAGCATGTTGCTTTGACCTTTCTCAAAAGTAGAAAGTCTTACTTGTAGATAGGCATAGCGATGTGCTCCATAAAGCTGATCTGCAATTCTGGAATATATGCTTTTTCTCTGTCCATCATTTCACTTGGTCTGTTGCCCATGGCTTTCTCCTACACAACAGATAGGAGAATAACAAGCAATATCAGATAAGGACTAAACGTTATACTCATGATAACTAAACTTTTCATTTGCCTCTGAAGTAAACTTCTTAAGTTCTTTATCAGGGTAGTGTTTGGTATATTATGAACAACTTCAGATGCAGTGGTCTTTGTGTGTCAGTTTCTTGCTTGCCTGCCTGTAATTGATATAGATCTATTTCCAATGATTTAAAACTATACATACCAGATCTCCCTGAGAAAAGAACTCCTTATAAATAAGTTCCTGTAAAACAAACAGAATGCAGAAAACTGCATTAACATTTATGATAAAGATTTGTACAAAATAATGTGACTTCTTATGACTGCAAACTAACTCCAGGTGTACAGAACATCAGTTAATAGACTTTTACCCATGACCTGTAATGACTGTACATCACTGCCATCATCAAATGTCATTTTTCTGCTGGTCTTACAATCTAAAACTTTCAAGAAATGTTAATTTACTGTGCATTGTACCAATACTCATATTCAAATTAATTAATTAGAATCTCCTGTAAAATTGCTGTTGGTTTGCTGTTGATTTCTGGAATAAGGCATGCATTTCTTTTTTTTTTTGCAAAAGCCAAACAGATACTGCTGTACTGATTGTTCAGAAATGGGTATGCTTCTATCTTCACTGTTAGGTGAGCACGTCCACTTACTGCAATCTTCCTGGTGGTTTTCCATCCCTTTGTCTGGTCTGAAAGATCACACGAAGTCATGAGCAGGCATAACAGCAGGTTGTGGTGTTGCTTGTTGTCTGGGTTGTAACCCACTAAAAGAAAAAAAACAGTGAGCCATAAGTTTTCTTTTAGGGTGAAATGGCTCTTCAGTTCACAGCAATGATACAGTATTCAAATCAATTCAAACCATTAATTATAACAGGTTTACACTGGAAGCTATGTTGCACTAATATGCTTTGTTCTGGTGGATTATTTTTCTGTTATCCTATAGTGCCCAGCTATCAAAGCTAACAAGCTACAATTCCATCACAAGGAGCTTATTTTAATCAATGCTTAGCATCATTTCACAAAAGAAAAGGCTTCTCTACTAATTCTAATCACAGTGCAAGCACCCATTATAATACTTGACAGACTGTGCCATTTTCAGGGTTCCCAGTGCCAACTTAATTTACCAAAGCCTTGTTTCAATCAGGCTGCAATCAACGTGTGCTTGTTTCATGTTCCTTCCAAGCTGACATCTATAAGAACAGGATCAAATTGGCCTGTAATTCAAAATGCCCATATCTGCTTTACAGCCAACATGTTAAGAAGAGCAGAAAAAAAGCTATCCAGAATACTTATTTAATCCAGGTATAGGGTAGTAAACATATCAAGTGCATAGCAAGAAAGTTTAATTTGGAATTTCTTCAGCATCAAAGACATGGGCTGTGGTTTGTTCATGTTGTTCATGTTCAGTATCTACAAAGTCATACACAAATACTGACATCCTTTATTTGCACAACATTATTCACCATTAATTTAGTGTCAGCTTGGTTGTTAAGCAGTATTTCTTTGATTTTACCTCTTCTACATTTATAGTGCACTCATTATACCTAACAAGCTGTAGCTTTGATCTAAAGTAAATTAAATAATGTAACTCCATTGAGTTACAGGTGCTCTTTCCAAACACAGAAGTCTATTCATGTACAGTATGTACAGTATACGCACTGTATGTGTGTTCTCAGAGACTGTTACATGACTCTCTGTCTATTTCAGACAGTGTCAGGGGTAGGCTGGGAACCAAGAGAAAGATACTGTCTGTCCTTTCTCTATACGCCACCATTATTTGCATCACAATAAAAAACATCAGATTCCAAGATTTTACATGACAAATTACCATCTGCCATTTTCTGAAGGTCTTTGAAAATGCGCAGGTGGTGTGCCAAGTCTGTTGCCAATATGATATCCCTCATCAAATCCAACATCCTTTGGTAGTCCTGAAAACAAGACCTCATTTAATTTGAACATGTACGAAACAAAGGAAAGATAGGGGTAGTGTTATTAAGATAGAACAGTGTATAAAACATGCAAGATCTGCAATCATATTAAAAAATTCAAGCTTCTGTTATTTTAAGTTTAGCAGTAGACTATGACTTTCCAATCCACATAGAATAAACATATTGCACTCTGAGACAATGTGCATCTATCTCATAGAGAAGGGCATGATAAGCCAAGGACTAAAAAAGAACAAACTGGGAGAAATTAAAATTAGATTCCTGGAGTAACTGACACATTTTTATTAGGTTAAACTGGAAACTAGTATACAATTCTGTGCACACTGGGACTGACCTTTCTTGAAAACTGATCAAAGATGTTACATCCGTGGGTGTTTAGAATTGCTATTGCCTGGGCAAAGTGATGTCTCTGTGAGGAAAAACATGCAAGGCTGTTAACCTCTGTGCTGCACAACAGAAGAATCTTGTTTTACCACAGAGATTGAGTACTGACCACCAGATGTCACCAGACTCTCAATGTAATCCATTTGCTAGCACGGAAAAAAAAAACAAATCCTCACACCGCTGTACTTACGGTGTGTGAGGCATCGTAACAAAATCACAAATAAAATCCAAGAAATTCTATAAAACTTCCCAGTAAGGAGAAAAATACACCGTCCTTCACATCTGTGGCACTACATTTCTTCAGTAACTACTTTTCTTCAGTAGATCACCTTTTCTCAATTGGCCCACAAACTACCTGTGTTTTATTGCACCTCTGTTGCTTTTATAACATCTATTTCTCAATTGTAATTGCAGCAGAGTAAAAAACAGAATGCAATATTTACCTCCATAACTGAGCCTTCGGAACTATAGAGGGCTGCCAATACAGATTGCTGTAAGAAGAAGTAATACACAGATGATTAGACAATTGCATAGAAAAATGGGTCTTTTTATGAGCATGCTGTTTCCTTTAAATTTCCTTGATAAGATAAATACCCCTTGAATAAAGCAGATGGGTCCCTCCAAGCTGCTATGAACTCAAATTAGAGCTATGGTTTAACAACACAATATATATTCAATATCTGTAACAAGCAGCATCTGTTTTTATTGGAGTTGTGTGGAAAGAATATCAACCACATCCACAACTGAAACAGTTGGCTTTCAGCTTGTCTAGTGCCTTTGGGCCTCGTTGTTATTGCTACCATCCACCTTTCAGCTGATCTCTTACAGGCTGTGAGAGTGAAGGCCCTGGACACAGCAGTTTTTGTCGATATGATCCTCTGTAATACTACTGCGAAATATGATGAACATCAGTGATGAAGTATTCAACAAACACAGACGGATAAGTGTTTTGATATACAGTACACCACATTCCAAACTAGTGTGGTATATATAGTGTGCTGTTTGAGTGACGTGACAAGAGCAACCTTCCTTTGTAATAAATTCATACTTGTACAGTACATTCATAGATAAATGGCTTTGATGCTTTTCTGAGGATCGCAGAAACCATAAAAAGTGAATTAAAGGTCTTCATCCTACAACTGGAAACTCAGTTTTCACACATTGAGAACCTGTTCTAATAGCTTCCTTTCAGCTCCAGGCTTGTTCTCTACAGTTATTTTAATTTCTGGGGTCAATTTGAGGATTCTCACCGAAGCCACCTGGAAGGAATTGTTGGTCCCTCTGTGGTCCAGGTCGTGGCACATACACGACACGAAAAGAGCAAAGATTTCAATGTCCCTGAAAGGAAACGAGAAGAATTGGAATAAGGGTAATAGCAAAATTATAATTAAAAAATTAAGAAGTCACCTCAAAAGGGTCATTCGGCTCTTATTGCCTTTTTACTTAATGTTATTAAAAGTGAAGCTGTTATATGCTGTTATATGACACATTCATGATTATCACAAAAAAGACTAACTTGTGGGATGCTTAAATACAATTTGGAGATCATTTTGTTGACAGCTTGTTAGATATTCTTTTCTCTGGCAATTCTGTGCTGCAGCATAGCCTTAACTAGGAGACATGACCTATAATCAAAACCACAGAAGCCCCAAATTTGGGTTTTCTGAGCATGTGACTTTTGAGAAATAGAGACAGTAATAACTTGTATTACTATTTCAGGGTAGAGCAGACTTGTTGGAAAACTTCCAATTGGTATAATGAGATTTAATGAAGATTGGAGGAAGGCTATCTCTAATTCTTAAGATGTCAAACAGTATGTCCATCAGAAAACTGTTTATTCCCTGCAAGCAACATAGCAACCTGTAGCCGATCCCAGAAGCATCTGGTGCAAGGCAGGACTACAGCCTGGACAGGCATGCCAGACCAAAGCAGGGCGCGTGGTCACAAGCACATGGGGATTTAGAGACACCAATTAACCTAGACATCATGTCTTTGAAAGGTGGGAGGAACTGGAGTACCAGGACAACTCTTACACTGACATTGGGATAACCTGCAGCACCTTTAATTCATCACTGTTATTTCTTGGTCTAAGAACTAGCCTTGTACACTTTGCCAATTTTGTTTGGTATAAAGGGTTTTAAAAAGATCTAGCTGAGTATAAATAATAATTCAACTTTGAAGAGCACTTTTCATGAATCTCAAAGTGTGGTACAACAGCACAAATGCTTTCAACCTCCCACAGTCCATAAGCTCAGAGGGTACACAGATCTTTGTTAAACATATATCCATACACCCAATAATATCTCCCACTCATGTAAAAAAATAACAAAGTGTGAACTGTAGGTATTGTAGTCAACTGTGAATCAGAGTCAGTAATTTTTCACTACAAGCAATGTATTTTCAACACTACATTGGGGTATTTCGACCACCCCCCAAAAGGTAAGGCAGTCTAAAATGAGATTTTAAAAAATCCAAAAATTCAGATATGCTGCATGATTTTACTTTTTAGTGGCCTAAGAATTCAGAACTATGGGAAAGCTGAATGGAAATCGATAATTCTGCAGGTCATTGTGAAATCCAGTATTGCAGATCTACTGATTTATGAAAGCTATAGCAATAGAACATAATCTAGTACAGTTTAACATCCACTAATGAACTGTGGGGTCAATCTCAAAGTCAGGAGCTAAAGCTGACACTAAGGCAGAATTCTGAAAACATTGCCCTTGAGGATGGGGACATTATCCTTTCATGCTGTACTTCTGTATAATCATAAATTCATTAGTCTGAAAGTGATGTGCACTGACCTGTAAGAAAGTGAAATACATTACAGCTATACATTTATGCATCAAATCTCTGTCCTTGATATACACTGTTTCTTTGCATATTTTTCTCTATACCTGAGATATTTAAATGAAGCCACAATATGAGGAACATTCTGAAGTCTATTTTAAAATATACTTAAAATATAGTATTTCTAGCCAGTATGAAACAGACATTCTGCTCCTTCTATTAGAAATGACTGAGGCATTTTACCTGGTATATTGTTTTGTCATTTGAGATAATTATTATTCCTTCTGCAATGTGTTTACCACATCCACAGCACTCAAAGCTGAGATGTTTGTGACCTAATCAAGATGTGATTAGCCTTCTGTCTCCTTCAACAAGCAGAGAAGTACTCTTACTCAAGGTACTTGGAGAGCTCCAGATTCTTGTAGAGGAGATAGCAGAAGTGAGAGACGGAGAACGCGTGCATCCAGTTGTGATAGGGGGGATCCCTGTATCCCTTTTTCACCATCAGACAGAACCTGGTGAAGGTGAAGCACATACACACATCATAAAACCCCTGAATATTAAACATCCACAACCACAGTAGCTGCAGAAGAGAGGCAAATACTTCAAAGTACCCACCTCGCCAAAGTCTGTAAGTCGATCTTGTAATTGTTGATAAAGCCCATGTCTTCAAACATGCTCAAAATACCCTGGAGACAAGGAAAAGAAGAGGCATAGGCACAAAGAGCATGTGGGTTAAATTCCAGTGTAGCAGCACTATTTCGGTCAGAACTGATTTTACACAAGTGATTTTCATTTTTTTTAAACGTTTTATCCAGTTAACGGCATTTAATTTGAAAAAATACAATACGTTGTCCTGCACAGTACTCACATTCCAAAAAAGGAATCAAATACACACAGTCTTGCACCCCAAGCTGCATTAATTAGAGCGCCTATCCCACATAACAAGAATACAGGAACAGCCTACCATGGGAGTGCTATCATCAGGCAAAGACCGAGGAGTGTAAGTGAAATTGGCAAAGTTGGGATGGATTTCATTAACAGGCTGGATTCCGTGTTTCAGAAGTTTCGTCACTTCCTCCTCTGAAACCTGAAATGATGCAAACAAGCATTGCCTCTTTGAATCGAGACTTTGGATGAATGAAATAGGATTGGTACGAAAGCCAATAAGAGCACAATGGAAGACTGTGCATTAACTATGACTTCTGTTTAGTTCAAGCCATAAAATGGCTCAAAGTTCTTGGAGAAATTACCTGCCAATAGCCAAGACCGCTGAATTCAAACAGCAATGGCTGAGAATGTAATTACATAATATTTTACATTCACACTTGCAAAAAAATAGAACTTTTGATTTTTATGGAATTGAGGCTATTCAGTATTGCTAGTCTGATGATTTAATCTGTACAATGGGCTTCATATACATTATAGGCAAAGAAGCTGTTGCTAAAATAAAGCTTTCATCAGTTACTCACATTACAAGGGAAGGGCAAAATTCAATTTTTAAAGGTCCCTAAACGTTTACCTTCATATGGTACATCATCATCTCATTGGCAAGGTGACTTCTAAATTGGGCCTCGTGGACTTTCTTGTACAACAGAGACTGTGAGGAGAAAACAGCCATTACTTACAACAGACGTGCGCAAATGTTGATCATATCATGTCTCTGAAATAATAGTTTGCCCTTTTAAATATCAAAGCTGTAAAAGAAGAAAAAAAATATTAAAAGAAGATTTATTCCTTGGTATGTTTTGTGATTGGGAATACATTATTATTAAGTTTATTCTATTTGCTGATATCACTTCATGAGGAAATTCCTTTTCACCAACCTTTGAAATACATCCCATACATATGTACTGTACTGTAGAAGTTACACCCGAAGAAGGCTCCGCAGTCGAAACTTTGTGTCTCTTTTCTTCTCCTTTCAGCATGGAATAAACCTTTACCTGTTCCAATGCACCTGTATATACAGTATACTATACTATGCATCTCTATATACTATATTGTTTTTGACTTTTCCCTACTTACATGAGCAATGCTGATGCCACAATAGATTGAGAATGCTGTGGCCAAGTCTTCATCAAACCTGTTGAACCAGGGGCCATTGATCTTATTGACCAGTTCAGCCACGCCAATAACCTCTGGAAAGACATGGAAAGACAGACTTTGGATAGGATCATCTAATGCTGCTATTGAAGCACTTCGCGGCACATGGAAAGGCAATACTGATGGGAGAGTCTGATATTAGAAGCTTCATACTCTTTGGCCTACATAATACTATCCAAGAGCATCTACTGTATGTACTTGAAAATCTCCTCTTCTGTAAGTACTGTACATAGCATATGCCACGCGCATTCCTTTCCTTAAAGGGAGAGGATAAGTGCTCAGACAACCATAACCTGAAAGGCAAGCACAATAGCTTCTTACAGCATCGACAGATTAAAAGTACCATCTAAACTGAAGATCATGTCTGAGTCTTCTTGGTTTACAGCACTCAAGATCCAATTTGCCTGACATACACACACATTCATATAGCTGCCGGTATAACAGCAATACCAGAGAAAAAATACAGCAAAAATATCAGTTTTTCCCACATCAAATTTCCTAACCTGTGCAATGTAAGTGCCGTACCATTTCAGTATCCTTGTTTTATTTGTAATCTAACAGGTAGAATTTACTTGAATTCATGTGCCTCCAGGATTATTATGAACAGTACATTTCTACAGGAAATGAAAATACAGTCCAGAAATATCCTGATGAGCAAAACATTAATAGGTTATAAAATGGAATCAGTCCATGTAACCTCCCTCCATGATCCACTCGGCTGTACATTTCAAAACACTGTTTTCATCTAGCTCCTGGGCTTAAATTTTAAAACGGACAGAAAAAAAAAAGGCAAACAAAATAAAAGCGTAACATGGTTGGCATTGCAGATCTTTGGAAACCCAATTCCTTTGAAAAAAAATAGGTAAAGGAAAACAGCCAAAACTGCTAGCAATTCCATTAAAATATTTTAATTCTAACACCAACAAATCCGATCATTCTTGGGCAGTGGTCAAGTGCATTTAAGGGCACAGCATTTTTCAAATCAGACACAAAACAGCTAGCATATTTTAGTCCTACAATTCAGCTACATTAGGATTTACACAGGATTTGAGGTATGACAGAAAATTGATAGTTGGGAGGCAAAACCAGAGCAGTCCAGGAATAAATGTACATTTGAAGGACACAGGGTTTGATACGTTGCCAGTCATTTGACAACAAATATTTCAGATTTGAATCCCATTTCTGAATTTGTATGCAAGACAGGGGAAATTTTATTTGATTTTTAGCAGTACTGGATCTAATGGTTTGTGAATGGTTTCTCACAAATCACAACAAGGGTGATGGTGAGAGAAGATGAATCGATGAAACGTCACTTAGAAAGATTTCAGCAGCAGCTGCTTTCTTAAAAAAACACGTTACTTAGCTTGAAATAATCTAAACTACAAAACAAGTACTGAGTCTTTTCATTATACAAAAGATTACCCTTAGAAGTGGCAACGCACATAGTACATCCACGCATGCGTATTGATATTATCTTTCTGTACAACCATTTGCATTATGGCCAGCCTGATACACAAGGCTATGCTACTACATAAACATCCTCTGCATTTGTGCATGGTGTTTTATTGCTGATGAATTAATTATACTGTATGCTGAGGCTTTTCATTTTAATGTGACTTTTTAATGTAATCTGTAAAGAAGAAAGACTTGCAAGCATCATAGTAGTTTATGTAAAATGGGTAAAAAATAATAGCAAATAAGTTAACATTTATGTAATCTGAAGCTAATGCAAGGTGACATATCAGCAATTGTTCTTATGATTAGCACAGTGCAATACAATGCAAAAGCCATTCGTGTTCTCATATTGATGTGGCATGCACTTAGTTGTCCTCCCTGAAAGAGTGCAGCAGACAGGTTAATACAAATGTAACAGTAACAAGATTTCTAGCATGCAAGCCATGTTATTGCCACTTTGGCAAATGCTATTATGTGAATTTCATCTATATCATGTAATTATTTGTTATTTGGGATAAAATGTCCTACAGAAAAACAGCTGACAATTTTGCAGTTTCCTGCTGTGAAAACAAGTCACAGCCTTGCATATTCACACTGTGATAATAGGAGTTGTGGACATCTACAGGTTCTCTTAAATTGTCTAGAATTGGACTGCGCAGCCAAGACAGTAGATCATTAATCATTTGGTGATCACGTTTTGCAACATTTTCCAGTGCATACAGGCCAATCTGGCAAGAACGTCATACAGTAATTGCAATTATTATTTTATTTTGCATTAAACATGTACTGTACTAAAAGGAATGTATTGCACTTTGTATTAAACAAGATAAAGTCCTGTTTCTGTGAGGTTGTACTTTCAACACATACATAGTAAGCATACTTGCTTTATTGTTAATGTTTTCAAACTAAATCAATTCTACATATCAAATACATATGTCCAGAACCCCCAAATTATGAAAGAACATGCAAAAATAAGGTACTTATAAAATCTTTGTTGTTTAGAAAATCCCATGACCCCTTCCCCCAGTACACTGGATAATCGATGATCTAATGCATCGTAGAAATCATAGACATCTGTTTTTATTTTTTGTCAGTAAGAGGACAATATTTTAAATACTTCTTTTAAAAAATGTTAGCCTTATTGTCAGCATTGGATTTCCTGTAAAGTCAATAGCATTTTGAAAAAAAAATCTTAGAATGCTATGCTGAAAAATGTACTGTCAAGTCAAATCTGCTGACTTTTTTATGACCTTATTGTAACAGATGAAGGTGTGGAGGAAGGCTCGTTTGACACATCGTTTGGTCATTTTGTAAGACTTATTACTCTAAGGAGCAGGTGAAAGTTTATTGAAATCCTATACCCTACCACCAAAAGGTTTAATTTGCTTCAGGAAACAATGTTCAATAGACTCAGAAAAATAAAGCATTTATCAAAATGACAGAAGACTAATGGGATTAATCTCTCTCCTTAAAAAAGCCTTGAAAAAAGTGCTCCTTTGCAAAGTCCTTCCTAAATGGAATTTCACCTTCTGTACCTAAGAGGACAGTGGACCAGTTTCTGAAATCATTGAATAATGTTTATGTAAATCTTGTTAAAAGAATGTGTAAGTTAATGAAAGCTGTAGACTGATTAATGTGTTCTTACTATTTATAAAAATACAGTATTTTTATGCTAAAACATCTCTTTTTAATATATATAAACTCTTCGCAATCAACAAAAACAGATATACTAAGCAATGCATCAAAAGAAACATAACTTACTGTATGATTGCAACTTACAGTTATAAAAAATCTTTTCTGTAGCAGTTGCACTGATATTGTATTGAACAAACATAAAAAGGTCATTTATTACGCAAATTAACATTTGTCATCAACAATGCTGATTAACAGGGGGTCTTCTGTGAAATTCAAGGGTCAGTAGTGTGTGTGGAGACCTTTTGGAGCAATGAAAGCTATACATCTGTGACTCATGCTTTGCAAAAGGTTTCAGCTGCTGTCCTTTCAGATTCTGTCTCTTTTCTCTCAGAGCTAGAGCCTGGACAAGTATGTGCCTGTTCATTGGTCTCTGACCTGAGCCCTACATGCCAGGTCATTCCATCTCATCCCACAACTGTTGTAACAGGTGCAGTATAAGGTCTGTATTGTCCCGCTGTACATTTGCCATTTAAGGTTGGAAAGTGTGAGGTCCTGGGACTAGATCAGTATGACACCATCAATCACCATCAAGTGGAGTTCTATATTGACTGGACTCTCCTGCCCAGACCATAACGTTTGGACCTTCAGATTGGTGTGGTGTGATGACTTGTGGTCTCGCAGATTGGTGACATTGAGAGACTGCATTTGGCTGTAACATCTTTTCAGGTTAGAAACTACTGACTGTTAGACAATTCAGACAAGGAATCACAAGCTAAGTCTGTCCTCCATATACAGATAGCATGGAAATACTGTTCTCTGGAGAAACAGGGAGTATTGACTTTTTTCTTCACTTTCACCAAGCTTTTCATTAACTGTTTAAATAACCTCATCAAAGGTATCCAATTCACTTGGTCATCAATTATCATAAATTATCATGAACGTGGTCATGAATGATCAATTAATCAAAATAAAAACACAAATATTAAATTGAAATCCAAAATCCATGTACTTTACTTTAAAAAATGAAATGATAAATTGATAAGGTTATGTGATGCTTGATTTTTTCAATAACTACTCTTTCTATTAACTTGTAATCTTTTGATTTACATAATGCTTACCTGTAGCCTGCAGATGGACACCAGCAAGCCTAAGCTGCCTCTAATCAAGAGTTTTTTTTAATTGTAATGACAGCACAGCCCACACAAGTTGTGGACATACCCACTATACCAAATGTTTAACCCTCGGCCACACGAGACCTGAACACTCTTGCACGTCCTGTGGAATAACATCACTGCAACACTCGCATCTGAGTGTAACACTGAGAGAACTGTGTACTGAAACATTCCTATCACAAACCTGTGAATTTTTTTAAGCTGGTTCACACTTCCATGTGTCAGAACGTGCAAGAGGTCAAACCACTGGTGCTTACCATTATTTTCATCCTTGATAGGGAAGCAAAGTATATTCCTGGTCCTGAACCCAGTGCTGTCATCTACACCCCGGTAAAACAAAGGGTGAGAGTAGGCATCTTTGATGTTTAGGATCTTTCCTGTGGTAGCCACATGACCAGCAATTCCCTGATCAGCAGGAATCCGGAATTCTTTCTTTAAAAGAAGAAAAAAATGAGCATTGAAAATGTTTTGAGGTCCAATATCCAAGTATCCACCATAAAAGTACATTTTAATTTGTTTTCCAGTGGCTGAGAAATCAGCACTGCAGAGGCACAGCACAATCAGCACAAAGCGATCGACCGAGTACTTGGTTGAGCGTGCATAAAATGCATTTACATTCTAGCCATTGGCACTTGGTTGAGAATAATACAGCTCGATTCCCTAACAGTGTTCCAATTCCACACACTGCTGCATCTGCAGCGAAGCTTGAGAAGAGCTCATTGTCGACACATCAATGTGATTCACCCTTACCGCCTTACCTCATCATTCACCACTCCACCATCAAACACTTTGGCAACCAGCTCGTGGTTCACTCTATCCAACAGGAACACGGAGCAGCTGTTGGGAAAAATAAAACAAATTATGTTCGAACATTTCTATGTGTACGGAGGGAAAAAAAAAGTAGGTGCTCGTGTTTTCTAAATTTCACAGCCACGTCTTTTGATTTTGATTGAGTTGAACACACTGGTTGTCAGGTCACCTGAATCATATTCATTGAATAAAATGGGTTTCAAAGACTTTTTCCCACCTTAAATACCCAATACCAATATCACTAAACAATGAGTGTCTAGGATGGCTTGGTTCCTCATGTTAGGTCAGAAACTGCATTGTGATTGCCAAACGCTACACTGAAAGCCTAGAGTACATTGAAGAATATGCATCTGGTATGAGTTGCTGAAAATTAATAACAGATGCAGCAGTATCTGGTGGCTGTGTTTTCACATCTGAAGGAAGATATGTGTGTGGATTAAATATAAAATCAATCCACTGAGCTAATGAATTGTCACTCAGTTGTGGAAGAATTACGTAAGTAAAACAACAGACAAATAAGCCTAACAGACTTCAGCTGACAAAATGCCATTTGCAAAAGAAAAAACATTTCCTAGAATAACTGTTTTGTTCCCAAAGCACTTGGGTTTTGATATGTGTTTAATACTTGAAACAGTGAAGCTGTGATGTATAGCTGGCTTGTCCGCTTGCAAAATAAGTTAAGAAAAGTTGACTTTTAGGAAGTCACTTGATATTTACATACATCTCTGCATTGCTGAGGTTTCTGGCTTCGATAATGATCTCCTGTAGTAGAACTGACACATCGTCTGAAAGATGAAAGGACAGAGAACTGCAGATTTAATACTCCCAAACAGAATGTTTTCACTTTCCAATATAAAGAAATAAGTTGAATTGATTTAAGGAAAAATCTAAGTAAAAAGTTGGTGAAAGGCATACAAACCTAAGTGTGTGAAAAGATTTTTGGCAACCTGCAGCAGTGCCTATAAATTAAAACAACAGAATTAAGAAAAAGAGGTATGAACACAAGAAATGGAATATTCAACACTGATACCTATTTTTTGTCTTTTCCGTTATTTGTCCAAGTAAATTACGACCTACCAATACAATCCAATATTTTTTCCTATAATCTGTCTGAATAAAAGAACAGCGAGAGAAATCCATCCACTTAATCAGAAATACTTGTCACATTAATTTACTTGTCTTGCGGCTCGACATTTATAATGGAACCTTTAACACTCTTACACTGGCTGGGATTCTGAATGCCCATGGCTTCCATTTGTACTATAATGACAAAGCACTAGTACATTTGTACTCACTGAGAGGTGGAACACCTAGATCATAGTCTTTGAACAATAGGATTGCTGCTGTAGATTATGTAACAGCACTTTACAAGGGTTAGGTAAAACGTGTACAGCCTGATACAGAAATAAAAAAAAACAGAAGCAATTACTGCTGAAACTATTTATAGTCCACCTGCAGTATGTTCAAGTTGGAGATCTCTGTATTTTATCTTTTGCAGGAAGACTATAAAATAATGAAATAAAACGAACAGAATCAAACTTTCTATGGTAGAGATCACCCTTAACATGGGTTAGTAAAAGTTCTTTGTATCAATATTCTCTGCTGAAAATAAAATATAATGAGAGCACAATGAAGAATATATTAGGAATGTGCTAATCACAAAATAAGATGATATGGTATTCTCAGAATAAGCTAGACTATAGTTAGCTGCAACAGCAATTGTCTTGTCACATTAAACTCAGTCTGAGCCATACTCATATGACATACACACTTCTGGTATAAGTAAATGGTTGGTTATGGCACTAGAGAGATAAATATGCAGTTAGAGAGTGCTGGGCTTGTCAGTAAAAGTCTGTGAGATTCGCTTCAGATGTCGGGCACCTTTTTATGTCCTTTATTTCCATCTGGCTTAGATGTCCCAGGGCCTTAAGTTGGCAGCATCACCTGCTACTGCTTTCAGTCAATAGGGGCTAAAGTTGGTATCAAGGCAGCACTCTTCCTCATTGGAAAGGATTTGAAAAGGACTATTTAAAGACAATGTACTTGGTATTTAACCTAAAAAAAGGGGATAGATTATGGTAATCTGTGACAATGCCAAAAACCAAATTAAGTGCTACAACCAAAACTATATGCCGAAAGGATATAAGGATATTTATTTCTTGTATTTCTTGTATTTTGTAAGGGATCTCCTTAAGAGGTTGCTGTTACGTGGGGTGGATTGGCATCACTCATGTAAACTTTGACAGAAATTATGTGCACTCCATAGGGAGTGCTTACATTGTGGGAGTCTGTACCAGGCAGCCTACAGTAGGCATGTTATCGAAGAAGAAACCCTGACTTCTTTTAAGAAAGTGTTGGAGAAGATCCCCATGTCGGCTAGCTATTACCAACCAAACACCAAAGTACAACACTCTCTACTCACAATCTTTTTAGGGGGAAGGGGCACACAAAGGGAGTTATAAACTCCCTATGAGGTGTCATTTATATTTTGGGGAATAATGTATGATCTTATTAGCATACTTTGTCAACTGTTGTGTAGGACCTACTGATTGATTGTTAAGTGTAGCCAGGGTCCTGCAACACTCCAGAAAAAACCAAAGATCCATCTTAATAAGGTTCAGCTAATTTCCATGTTGCAATCAGTTCAGCCATACAGGGCAATTTAAAGAAGAATGTTAAGGTTAAGCTTGGATGCAGAACTGCTTATTAATGAAAACTAAAGTGGATTCCTTGCAATGCTGAACTTTTAACACTTACAATGTTCTTGTCAAAACTGCCTTTCCTTTTGAAAACTCCAATAAATTGTAAATGTGGAAAGGAGTGCATTTGAAACCCAAGTAGGATCTACTAGGCTATTAAAGAATAACTGGAGGCCCTACCTGACATTCAAACTTCAACTTTTGTTCCTTCTGAAATGCCAATGTGCTGGTTAATACTGTTGAAGTGTAGCAGAAACAATGCTGGATTTTGTGCTCGTCTGCTTCTGTGTGCCTGTGAAAACAAAGACAAAAGACTTAAACTGCAATTCAGTCAAGCTTTGCAGAGAGATATACTCATACTACACCTACTATAAATTCCCATTTCTTTTATATCTTGTTATTCAACAGTAGTTTTAAAACTAGTTTCTCCATGTTGTTTAAGCTTGAAAGTGTTAAATACAGACAGTTCGCAGAGTCACATTTTCATTTTAAATGGAATTTGAAAGCTCAAAGATGATTAGGAAGTGTGTCTTTTATAATATCTCTCCTTGCCAAATATGTTAATTGCAAAATGAACTATTTAGATAATACTTTAAATAATCCTTTGCAGAAAGACGTGGGTGAGCTAATTAGAACTTTTTTACATGGAAGGCACTGCTAGGTGTGCTACACTGCCAGAAAGCATGATAATGGCTTTAACATGACAAAATTCCTTCTTATGTTACAGGGATTGTTCCTTCACATCACTAGAAGGTGTAGACGAAATTCTTTGCTTTGAATTCAAAGGGAGCCTTTTTTTGTTATCACGTGTATTATTTAAAAGTGTATCTGTGGATTTTTAAAAACATTCAGTGAAAATTAAAAATATATAGAACAAGACGTAAATTAAAAAGGAATAATAATTTGCCCCCTGATAAAAAGTCTTGGAGTCACGTTTGATTAGAAACCTCCCCCAATATTCAGCTAAAATGTTTACTTGTCAAAGACACTCACAGGCCTTATGGCTACATTTCCAGACACACTTTCCCATTTAAAGGACTTCATTAGCTGACTTGGAGCATTTGGCACACATGACAGACAAGCAGGTGTGAAGACGTACAGATGAGAAAAATAAAACTCAGGATATGATGTTGTAGATGGTATGTATTTAAGGACACACCTACTACACAGAAGAAATATTTGGGGAAAAGATCTGGCAGTATTTCACAGGCTTTGCACAAATACGTAGACTCAGTCTTCTTAAGGCTCAGATACCCTTTGGGAGACAAAACACTGAACAGGTCTCCAATGTAATCTGATTGTTCTTTTTTTATTAGATTTTCCTCCTTGTCCAAGGGGAAACCTTTTTCAATTTTTTTAATGAGAAATCATTGATAATTCCTGCTTCATTTTATGTATCTCAAAAAAGAAAATGAGTAAATATAATACCATTTACACTCCAGAGTTATTATCCTCAATAAAATTAGAACAAAAACATACAGCAAAACAGAATGAGTTAATGAATGCATGATGCGTTTCAGTTAACAAATTTTAATCATTTTTACTGTAACCAAAATATCATTGCTCACAGCTAAGTCCTATTTGTCATTTATAATTAACTAAATTCCAGAAAACAAAATGTTTACAGTTATTCAAACTTCCTTAGCATCTCTTTAAATAAAATTAAAAACAAATCTACATTGGCATCATGGTATTTGGAAGTGCAATAGAATGAAAAGCATACACAGACCTTTCATTGTTTCCCTAAGGTATATAAGGAAGTAAGACATGGAAAACACTCAGTAGAAGCAGCATCAGCTTGGTCCAAGTCATAGAGTTTTTTTAAAACAGCATGCAAATAATCATTCATCTCCAAGCTGGGAGATGTCTATAAAAAATCCACAAAATACTGAAGCCACCACTTTTTAACATGCTGTATTGTTCATTTAAAAAGAATATAAAGATACTTGCATACTGGCAGCCTTGCTAAGAATAGGTGGCAATCATAAATCCAATGGTGACAGTACAGTAGAACACATATTGACATCTTCAGAGTACAAAGTGTTAATCACGAAAACAGTTAACTGCATTCAGACTAAATGTTCTTGACTTGCCATCTCAGTCTCCAGGCCTCAATTGAACACTTGTGATTATAACTAGAGACGGCATTCTCTAACAGATACCAAAGGGTCTACAGGACCTCGAGCAATTCTACATGGAGGAAGTGAAGAGCCAGAACCTCATAGCACACCATAGGAGGCGTATTCCCTGTCAGATGAGGATTTAATAAAAACTAACTACAGGGTGTGAATGAATGTGACCTTCTTATTTTCTGGACCTTATTTATGACAAACGTGACAACAGCTGTGCAAAGCTATTATGATTACTGTTTAGACATGAAATGTTTCGATTTTTAGAAAGAAACTATCTGTAAATCTTTCTGTCATTTGATGTTAATTGTTCCTATTTCATCAGGAATTTGAAAACAAGAGCACTGTAGTTTCTTGGGTTTGCTTGCTTAGAATTAATGTAATTAGCATTTTCTGATAAACTGTATTTTAGCTGTCGTGCAAATGCATAAAAATAGAATTGTTTTCCACTGTTTACTCTAGACGTAAAAATTGACTTTCGGTTTTTGACTTCACTGAAGTTATTTATTGCTCGCTTTTTGAAAAAAAATCAATAAAATAAACCTCAATGATTTTTCGAAAAAAATTCCATGCTGCTCTCTGAATCAAGACTTACTTCAGAGAAAAGCACAGAAGAAAACTTCTGTATGCATGTTTTTTTTAGTGTACCATTTCACTGCGTACCGATAACAACAGAGTTCCTCTATCACCCTCCAGATATGCTGCCAGAGGACACGTGTTGTGACTCTGTCTCTCTATACAAAAAAGGTCATCCTGAGCCGTCAGGCAAGATGAGCAGGTCAGCCTTGTCTACCACCTCAGACAAGGAAGCATTTTCTAATAAACCTGACTCTGCTTTACAGAGATAAAAAGAACACTGCCCCAAAACAGAACTGAAGATTTGGCAGGACTTTGATACATCAGTGTCTCTCCTAGACTCTTTGCTCCACATGAGTATTTATGAGGTGGCCCTGAGAGGCAGAGGCAGCTAGGCACAGATAGAGCACACAGACATGAAGCCTCTAGTCTGAAATAACAAAAAGGCAACAGCCACAAGTACCGTTCTCGCAGACTAAACCTTCTGGGCCTATTCTGAGGGAGACTAAAGACAGAAATACCCCAAGAACTAATACATGATTTATTGGCAAATATGAATTATTTGAGTAGAGAAATATTCTCTCATTATTAAAGAGACTGTATTTGCAGTTTTGTAGACACAGAAAAGGTGCCTTGGAAACACAGGAAGGCAATATTGGACTCTCTGATCTGCAAAGTTTTTATTAGTTTTGGAAGCGTCCAAGGAAGTCCAGGGAGATGCATTTAACACACAGTTAAGAATTGGGCACCTTTTAGTCAGTAGACAGTTGGCGGTTAATAATGAAGCATGAATTTCTATACAGATTCATACAGATTGTCAGCACAAACTGCAGATTAGTGAAATTATTAGTGAAACTAGTGATTATAGTGACACTCTTGAACTTTTGGCCTTTAGGTATACAATTAAGATATACGTCAGATGTATTTATTTTCAATGCACTCACAGCAGCAAAGACCCCTGTAAATTAATAGGGCTTTAGAACCAGATAAAACATGGAAATTAAAATATTTAGGGAAGTTTTTTAATGGATCAGCTAACTGGGTCTCCTGCACACCCCTTGTTAATAATATCAGCATTTAGAGAGCTTGTTATTCTAACTGTGCTGTTTTGGCTCAAGACTACAATAGCCTGAATCTTTAACATTAGAAGCATACAGTAGCTGGCTAAAAGAAAAAGTGATGTATCGCTGCTATCAAAAACCAAGACCATCTTTTTCACAGACAAAACACAATTGTTGGGCCAACCCCAGTAGTGATCAGTCACCAAGAAAAGCACAGCAAGCTGACACTATCTAGTTGCCCAGAGTGTTGGTTGTCCAACAAAATAAGTTCCCCCCCACACAAATTAACCTTTATCAATAGCATACAAGGAATGCTGGAAAGTGTAGCAGACACCATGTTTACAGACTATTTTAATGAAGACCTGCAAACACATTACAGAGGAAAATCCTACCTCATCTACCCTATAATTTATAAGGCATCTTGTATATGCAACACTAATGTTCAATAAAGCACATTTGGTATTAGTGGGTTGCAGCCATATTTTTGTAATGTCAGACAGTCTGCAAGACAGACAATATTTTCCTATACTAAAATACTAAACAAATGAATTACCTTGAGGACTTACAGGTATAATATCCACAGTTTTCAAGGGCACTCTTTCAGACTGCTAATCTAAATCTGCAGAGGTCAGAAGAGACATTCACATGTGGTTTCAGAGACCTGGCATAAATAAATACTGGATAAAGCAATTTTGGACTAGAAATATCTAGAGGCTAATTCAACAGTAGAAAAGATGATAAAAGGATGACTTGGGCTGCGGAGCCCTCTTTACATGTGTGGGAAAAAGAAAGAAAGGAGAGAGCAGGGAAATGTGGCCAAGGGGTTGAGTTAAGAATTCAAAGTTCTTCTCAAGCTTGGTATAGTTCTTCAGATCACTTCAGTACAACAACCAGTATATTTAAAAACATTTAGAAATGTAACTTGCTTTGGTCATCAGCCAAATTAAGTCCAAAAATAGAAGCCAAAATTATATTTTCTTTATACTTTCAAGAACACGGGTGTTAATGTTATCATAATAGCTAATTGATTCACTTGCTGTAAGTCTAGCAGACTTGCTTTTTTCTCTGGCATTAGGGAAACATGCCTGTGATCATTAACATTATCCAAGTCATCTATTTTCTTCAGGTACTGAGAAAAATGTATTCAGTCTGTATTAAATCTTGACCCCTTAAAGGTTTAAATGACTATTTATTGCTGGACTGCTTTTAATTTTCCATCTTTAAATTTAACCTTTTAAGTTATGAACTTCCATACCCCAGGAATATTTTGAAATGATTCTGAACCCTGTCCATGAAAGTAACTTGTCATTAATCTACACTGAATATGTAATGTAGACCAGGATTAGATATAATCTTGCTCTGTGAAACTAGCTGTCAAGACATTTGGACAATGCATTTTCAGTCATTCATCATATCCAGTGTGACAATCACATTTTTCTACAATACATGTTCTTCATCCTGGTGGCGATCAGGTGATATGAGTTACAGGCTTAAGTTTCAGATGACTCATTTTAAGTGGCATCAAGAACTGCACATTTTAAATTCAAATAGACTGCAATCACGTATTCCATTACCACAAAAAAGGACGGCAATGTTAATCAGAACACACACAGTGTTAATATGTCTCCAATTTTCAAAACTCTCATAAAGCTCTCATAAAACTCTCATTGAGCTTGCCATCTGTTGCTCCCTCTGATGTCTTTAAATTAAAAGTAATACATTAGTAAAATGCAATGGAAACAATTACAAGTGAAGCAAAAGTCTCTTTTCTTTTAGACTGTGCATGGTTCTAAATGGAGATTTCCAAATCCGCAAATTATAATGTGTGCCCATTAATCTACATTATGCAGGCACTTATTCTAACAACAAACCCAAAATCAACCCAAAATCAATCTTCAGAATGCACAAAGACTAAGTAATCTGAAGATTACCTACTTTTTATGCTGTAAACATAGAGCTTATGGCTTCCAATCATATTTTAATATGGAAAAACACACAGAAAAAAATAAAAACAAGGGAAAAACCACCACACACTGCGCCATATGAGACATCCCGGCTTTACATAGCGTAGTATCCAGAGAACAAGGTTCAGTAAGGAGATAGTGGTTCAGGATGAGGCCAAACGTAATAGACACAATAAGCTTTCCACTTACTGTTGGCCCCCTATCTTGTTGAACGCACACGCTAAGGCCACCACCTGGGAAGTGGCTCTGCTGATGACAGGCACACACAGCATGGAGTGTGCTTCAAATCCCAACATGCTGTTCAGCTGCTGAAGTTCCTCCTAAAACATAACAAATTAAACCATTTAACGAGACCAGCATTGCACAAAATCGCATGCTTTGCTGATGGAACGGGGGCCTGCTGGGTGAAGTTAGTGGCATTCTCATAGGGCTTGTAGTGAAAGCCAATCCAGATCAGTTACAGAGTGTCCCCACATTGATTTCGCTAATCACTTAAGGTCAGCTTTTTGTAACAGCCACATCAAAACATCAGGAGACAGAGTAATAAAAACAAGATCATCTAACCAAAATGCAGACTTCTTAAAAATAAAATGTCAAGTATGAATATTTCAGGAAGTGCTAATATAATGTAGCCCCGTCATTCGAATGCATCTGGGTGTTTTTAAAATTGTTTATAATAATAAATATTATTTGTGGCTCCATACAGCGATATACTGAATGTGTATATCATTCAGTTTAATAGAGTGCTTGATGGAAAGGAAGATGTCCTTTTGCCTTTGTCTAGAAGTTTGAAATGGACTTTGCCTCTCCATTAAGTTTTTAGAACAGTCAAATTGGAAAAAAAGGTTTGTTCTCTATGGGTGTGCTTCTTGCTACAATGTAAACAAAAATGCAGTCATACCTAAGTTACTTGAATTAAACAAGATCAAGTGAGGGTATTTCCTTTTAGGCAGTCAGCAAGCTTTATTGTGATTGCAGCACAGTGTGCAAGCACTTTATTTGCTGTCTTCATGACATACAAGAGAATAAGCAACTGTGTCTTTTTTATTCTCTGTCACAACAGTTGCAGCAAAAAAAAAACATTTCTGAGCTGACAGGACAGCAGTGCTTCTGAGAAAATCACTAGAACTTATCAAATGTCTTGCCCTTCCAGTTACGTCTGCTTTGGCCATCAAGCTGGAACATCTGTGAATTTTAATTTCTGGTGCTAAAATCTGTTTATCCTTTTCTCTAGAAAGCCTTTGGGCACAAGAGATAGAATATTCACAGGATCCAGTGTGTCAGCATTGATTAAACACGGAACAATTTTATCCTGTCTTGACCCCAGTTTATGCCTATTAATATTTTTACAGAAGCAGAGAGAGAAAACAAAAGCACGTTTTAACGAAAAATAAAAATTGATTTTTTAAAAAGATTTGGATGATGTGGGATTTCTTAGCAATGGCTTCTGTCATTTTCAGGCTGGAGTGCAACCGATCAATGGTTTAGCTAACATGTAAAAATGACCCAGAACATGTAAAAATGACGACGTGTGAGCTGGTGATGTCCTAGACTCACTGGACTGATGTCCTGGAGGGTGATAGATTTCTTCTTCTCCACCAACTGTCCAAGGTGACCAAATGTCAGCTACACAAAGAAAGCAAAGGTAAAGAATAACTTTAGTGCTGTTATTTTTATGTCTGTGATTGCACTCAATATGCATTGCATCATTTTTAACATTCAGATTTCTCTTGCTTTCCTACGGAACCGAGGTGGTGTGTATACAGTATATATCAGGAAAGATACATCTAATTTATTATTAAGTGTCCTACATTTAATAATATTTTTATTTATTTATATAAATATATCAATTAAATTTATATAAATATATATTTATTAAATATCCTACAACTTGGAAACAGTCTCAAATTATGCACTAATATGAGATGTTAGGGGTCTTGTTTGAGTTCTGTTTTGATGAATAAATAAAACCCTGTTAAAAATTCTGTAAAGCCTCTCACTTTCACCTCAGAAACATTGCCCACATTCAGTCTTGTCATGATTAACCTGCTGCAAGAAACCCTGATTCATGTCTTCATCATACCTTGGCAGGGTTACTGTAATAGCCTTTGCACAGACACTACTATCAGATCACAACACAATCTTATTTCACTATTTAGGGCAACTAAATTAATTATAGAGAACTTATAAGTAGAAAACTTTTATTAACCTGCTTTGAAGGACACATACTGTAATGAATAACTTACAATCAAGCCCTAGAAGCACACATTTTATAAAACAACATTTTTACACAACTTTTATACAACTAACAACTAACAAACAAACTTACTGCCTGGATTAGCACAGTAGCAACAGGAAGTGGCACTGGAGAGACTTTTTGACTCACATCTGAATGTTCTGATTAAAAAATGTTGTTGTCCATTGTGGTGGGCCACAGGTACAAATGTCTGAAAGGGCATCCACCATGACTGTGGAGCTCGCCGCCCATTTGGGAAAAGAGTAAATAAATAATAATAATAATAATAATGCTTTACACTTCTGGACACTCCATTCAAAGAGCTTTACAGGTAATGGGGAATCCCTGCCACCACCACCAATGTGCAGCATCCACCTGGATAATGTGACAACAGACATAGTGCGCCAGAACGCTCACAACACATCAGCTATCAGGAGGAGAACAAAGTGATGAAGCCAATTCATCGATAGGGATTATTAGGAGGTCATGATTGGTACAGATCAATAGAAAATTTGGGAAGGAGACCGGGTTTACACCCCTACTCTTTTTTTTCGAGAAACGCCCTCTGATTTTTAATGAACCCAGAGAGTCAGGACCTCGGTGTAACATCTCATCCGAAGAATGGCACCTTTTTACAGTGTAGTGACCCCATCACTATACTGGGGCATTAGGACCCACATGGACCGCAGGGTGAGCACCCCCTGCTGGCCCCACTAACACCTCTTCCAGCAGCAACCTTAGTTTTTCCCAGGAGGACCTGTACCTTCCAGGTACTGGCCAGGCTCACACCTGCTGAGCTTCAGTGGGCTGCCTGTTGTGAGTTGCATGGTAATATGGGTGCTGGCTTTTTATAAATCAAGACTCAAGACTTATCTGTTTAGTCAGGATTTAGTGGTGCATTTTCCACATTTTTTTGTTTTCTATCTTTACTTCTTCATTTCGGTTCAATCCTACCGTGATTCATGGTTCTTTTTGTTTGTTCTACCCTGTAAAGTGCCCCAAACACTGTTGGTGTACATGGGCACTGAAACAAGTTCTTGTAAGACTTCTCTAATTCTGAATTTTTTGAATTGTGGTATAGAGAATGCAATGTAATTTTCTGTAATATTTTTTCACTACTTATTAAAAATTAACGTTCAGACTGGCAGCTGACCTGACAGAAAGACAAGCAGGTTGAGAAGCTGTCACAAACTTGGAATCTTGGAATCTCGTTACTGTATTTCTCTTACAGAGTGTTTTGAACCATTTAGGAGCTATTGACAAAGTTGAAATTTCATCATAATATGAACATGAATTTAAATTTACCTGATAAATATATAATATAAATAACAAATACCCCCCCAAAGAAGAAAACATTTTCAGAAATGTCTAAAACACCTGAAAGGGCTTCCGTTTTGGAGGCATTCCTTCCTGACATAAGACATAAAGTTGCATGATAGGGAGCCTTAATAAACTTAATATTGATCAGTACCTCTCAAATTAGAAAGGAACTCCATCCCCCTAACCCAGGGCTCCAGTGCGTCTGGGATCACTAGATAAAATGTGTGTTAATTATGCACAGCTGAATTGGTTATCTAACTAAATCTCAGTCCAATTTGAGAGGAGACCAGATGGCTGGACCACTTATCAGGGTGGAGGTTTCCAGAAGATGACCAGCCTCTCATGTGACCGTATGCTATACAAATGAGTGAGAGAAAGGAACAGTAACATAACTTAAGAGAGAGAGGATAACAAAAGTGGTGAGACAGGAGACAACGAGTTAGGAGCCACAACCCAGCTCAGCCACTGGATTCCTCCTTGACAATGAACTGAACCAGCCATTGAGCAGCGAAGGGACTTAAACTCAATTTAAGGAAAGGAAGTGCATTTTCACAATAGTGTAAATATTAGAGTTTTCCTTTCTGAATCCACCAGGCAGTTTGTCTCTTGTGTTAGGGATCAAAAGTTGTGAATGGAAGATTAGTTTGTGAAAACACCTCTCACATCACCTTCTCTTCCAATGTCTTGTATTAATTTCCAAACATTGTGTTTTTATGTCATATGTGTGTCATGTTCTTAAATAAATCTTGTAAAGTAGTACCTTTTATTTCTCTACAATCAACTTGTTCATGGAAGATCAAAGAGTTCACTTGACTCCACTGTGTATTGCCTGACCAATGACAAATTACTTAACCTTTATAGATGGCTTATACTCAGGTCTGACTATAACTGTGACTTTAAACATTTAAACCCTTTACCCTCTATTATCTAACAACCTCCTTATGTAACAATACACTCACAAAATGAATATTAGGCCAGTGGGAAAATCTGAGCATTGTAGCTTTCCACAATGGTTTCTGTGGCAACAGAGGAAGATATTGCTGCTGATTTTTATTTTGTGCTAATATATTTTTTCACTTTTGTACATTTGCATCTCATGAAAACAACATAGTACATATCAACATGCATTAATGCATTAATAGTGCTCAAAAATAACATTGTGCATCTGTAAAATGAGAAATGTGATCTGGTCTCTAGTACTTCATATTGTATATTAAATATTCTCACCTGAAACTGATACCTTTCGGCTGACAAACAAAGCCCAGTTCTAATGAGAACAGTGCATTACAAACTCCCCAAGAAATCTTGTCATGTCCACAGTTATGGCCAAGTTAATGACACAGGTGCTTTATGTATGTTTTCATATTGTCATTTACACACTGCTTTTGAAATATAATTAAATTTGTTACTGGACAGTGATTGCTTTGTGGTGTCAACATACTGTATAAATATTTATACCTTGGAGAAAAAAAGTTACTGCTTGTTGCCTAATAATAAAAAAATATTAATATACTGTACATCATTTGCTACAGTTTTAAAACTGTGCTTTCCGTTTCCATTTCACATCCTAGAGTATATACAAAATACAAAAAAAGATACTTACTGGAAAGCTGATTTCCTCTTCTAGAACCTTGTCTCCTACCACCTATGATTGAGAAATAATTTCAGTTTCTTAGACAAAAAAGGTTTCTCAGATTAAACAAACCTTCTGAACCTAACACATCTTAAATCTGCCACTACATTTTTTTGCCGGATTCCAAGTGCCTGTGGATTGTGAAGCCTTAGATTGACTTGGCTAGAAAATAAAGGACATGGTTATTATATTATTATTACTGGCTTTGTTAAGGCTATAAAAATATTCCTTCTACATTAACTGTTTAATTGCCTGCAACTCTATGACTGAAATCAGACGCAACGCATCCTTATGTGGGAGTGTAAAAAATTTGAAAAACTTGAATAAACTGCAACATCTACTGTACAAAGATTTCATATACAGACAAGGGTTTTAACAACTACCACCACTGAAAATCTTTTTCACACAAACTAAAAATAAAAGCTTTATTTTTACATTGTAAAAAGCCAGGTAACTAACAGTATTAGTCCAGTTTGATACTGCTACACATGTGGGATTTAAGCCTTTGGCGATTAATAAAATATTAAAGAACAGTACCTGGCAAAACAGCTGATGGTTGTCTTCTGAAACAAGCAACAAACAGCAACACTGTGACTGGGTCTCCTGTTGCAGCTGTACATGAAACACAGATGATTAGGGAATCTCCTCCCTCTATGGAATTCAGCTCCAAAATGGAAACTGCCAGAAGGAATATTTATGTCTAGTGAAGTGGTAGGGGATAACACTAAAACTCTTCTTGAACTGAAAGACTACAGAAACTGTTTCAGTAGCCAGAAGAGGCATCAAATTTAATTGACTGTTAAATTCTGCATAACCACAAAGACGGAAACGTTTTTTTAACAGTAGCATTAAGGTTGCGTTATAATAGAATGAGATATCCAGCCATGTTGTTGAAGCAGATACCCTGACTTCTTTGAAGAACTCACTGGATGAGATTCTAATTTCAATTAGCTATTAAAAAAAACAAGTAAATCTGATATGCCACCTCTTGTTTGCAAACTTTCTTTTGTTCTTACATGTACCAATAGGTCTACTTTAGTTCTAAGTACTTAATGCTGAGTACACATACCTTTAATCCAACTGAATCCTCTAACTTAGAGGATAGCAATTTGAATTACATACAGTGCATTTGAAATGTGCAAATGAATGTAATCGGTATTCAAATGAATTATTTCAGAATTCAGGCATGTGAGAAATGACAGTACTGAGGGATTTTGTGGCTGATGCACCGGTGTCTTGTAGCAATCCCATTCAATCAAAAGGTGTCCTTAGGAATTTCTTGTGTTTGGGATCAGGTTAATTGAAATCAAGACATTATTCTCTGTTTTTTCTACTTACACTCTCTCCTGTTCTCAATTTTTTAAAAATAAACACAAAATTCCTTTTATGCTCTATGTTAGCATAAAAACTATTCATTTTGCCAAAGATTACAGCTAAAAAGGAAAAAAACAAATAACTGGTTCAGTACAACCTTCTTTGTTTGTGTTCATAGCTGGAATCGTATTTTCCTGGCAGCTCAAGGCAATATTGATGCATTCTTTTCTATTAAAACAAGTTCTGCTATACAGTTTAGGTCAGTGCTAAGGCATATGTTTGCAAGCAAGTTCTTCTTAAAGAAGCAGTAGTACTGTACCTCTGTGACCCCCCTCACCACATCACCACAAACAGGCAGCTCATATTGGGCTCCTGCTTGCTTTGCAGTGAAACGATTATCAGCTATCTGCACCATGCAGGGCAATCTTGTTTTCAGGCAGTGAGTCATAACTGCATATATTATGGTAGCTGCCAACATCCAAAACAAACCCAAGAGAATTGGTGCCTTTATCCATATAGTATACAAAATGGGACAAAGAGTTATTTAAAAATGTTTTCCCACAATGTAGTAGAGAGAGGATGATTCCTCATAACACATATCTAAGATTTGCAGTTTCCTTTTTGCAACCATTTTAAACACCACTGAATTAAAAGCTGGATTGGAGAAGATGAATGTTACATAAAAGCTAAGCATACAGTATTTAAGGAGGCTCTTTTTTAAGTCTGACTTGGATCTTGTTAGATGAAAGTCACAAAACCTTCCAATACAAGAATAAAAAAATATTTTTTATAGATTCAGTTTCAACTGAGCATTGTGTTTCTGAATAGAGTACAATGAAGAAAAGTGACAGTAATTAATGCTGCTTTCTTTACACATTTCAAACAAAGCTCTTTGACCAAATCCAAACAGTATGCTAATTATTGGTTTATTTGGTCAGAATTGTTCATGGTGCCAAACAGAGCAGTCAAAAATCTTTAATTTTAACAAAGGTAACTTAAGTTCTTGTTTGCCTTCAGTTTAGCATCTCCCACTGTTTTTAGGTTTTATCATTTTTTTTTTGTTCATAAGGACAGTGATATCTGGGCCTGACTACATAAAATACCTATATAATTCATATATGTAGCACCAAGTCCAATGTTACACATGTAATGAGCAATAGCTGTTTCTTGATCTTCACACTTGTTTCCATAAACAGTACAACTGGTAAACTGCAAATTGGCAGGTGGACAGTAGACAACAAAGTAATGAAGAGAGAACACAAAATCTATCAAGATCTGATGTATCACTTACTCAATATAAAAAGAGGACTTTACAATTATCCATCAATCATATCTGCATCAAACTATGGAGGAATGAAAGCAACTGGAACCTGACACAGCGCACAAAAAGTACATCAGGCACAAGGCACAAGATTTGCACAAGACTATACTGGTTAAGGTGCCAGTCCGTTGTAGGGCATGCACACACACAAGGACAATACAGAAACATCTAATCTAGCCAATATGTCTGTAAAAGATGGAAGGAAACCAAAACTCTTCAATGAAAAAAAAACCTTGCAAAGAGGAGAAATCAGTACTAATAAAGTAAATAAATGGTTGGATAAGCTTATTAAGAGCTTGGATAGAATGAGAAGACCATATGGTCTCTTCTGTAAACATCTATTTCCAATAAACTCCTTATTTAAATAACAACAATAATAAAAACTGAAATAACTGTCCAAGACGTAAATAAACCCAGCACAAAGTCTGTTGTTAAGATCTGTTTCTGGTACTAGACATTCTTTTTATTGCTCTCCTAATCACATAAAAATCTGATTCATAACCACTGCACAGGGACATACTGTTGTTTCAAGGGTCCAGGGTTGGAAAGGTTAAGACATTCAATCTGAGCAGCACCAAATCTTATTTGCAAAAGGGTCAAGGTGAATTTGATTATAAAGAAATACTACTTGCATTATATTACTTAATGAACATGGATTACCAATGATAGAAAACTGTTCTTTTTGTCACTGTTCTATTAGCTTCAGAATGCATAGATCTGTGTTTACCAGCAGGTGTCACTGAGGAGATACAGGAGTACAGGGTTTGAGACCACCAGCGAAAGTAGGAAAAAATAAGTATTGACAAAGCTTCTGAGAAGAATGCTGTCCAAACACAGATAAGGCTATTATGCTAATGTCTTCAGCTTTGAAAATAACATGCATCACATTTGAATGCAAATCAGGAATCACACTGGAGTTTGCATAGCTCTGCTGTCAAAAGGTGATCCTTTTATTTAACAGAGAAGACAGGCTATATCAGTGAGGAATCTGGTGTATTATTATTTAAATTAATAGGGGAAAAGCAAACTTCTTGTAGCTCAATGTACTGCACTGAAAATGTGAGTCAAAGACATCACAAGTATATCTTTTCTAATGCAGATTGAGACAGCTGGGTAAACTTCATTAGTCTAGTGGAGATAATTTTGACCCCAGCCCAGGAAGACACAAACAGTTTAGTAATTTCTATGTGTAAAGATTTCATAAGCTTTTGCTACTGATATGGTTATTTTAAATTGGAGCAGACTCTCAGCAATAGTATATATTTTTAAGATACAAAATTCCATTCACATATACAGTACTTTGGAATGACATATCACCATCTATTTTTGTAGAACCTGAATTGAGAGGAAAATGTTCACTTTTTAAATCATTAGGCATATTTAATTGTTTCATTTATTAAATTTGCTCTTTAAAATAATATTGAATGTAATGATTAATTGTGTATTTTAATGATTTATTAGTCTATTTTAATCTAATTTATTATTAACTGTAGAGGGCATTAAAAAGCATAGAATAATGAGCACTGTATAAATAAAACTGGCTGATTTATATGACAGCAAAAATGACTTTCAACCACTGAGTCAGTTCAAAGAATGAGCATTATGTATTTATGAAGTTCAGAAAGTCATCATTAACAATTGTCACCGAAATTGCACAGCTGAGAACAAAATGTCAGTGGGTTTTTCTTTGTAATTGGAATTTCCAATTACTTTTCTAAACTACAAATTAATTGTTTTTATTATTTGCTAATCAACTCAGCTCACTGCTGTGACCTTTAAGTAATGTCAGATTGTAACCATGCTTTCTTCCTAAATATGCCCTTGTCGGAGACATCTGCCATTTATCCTGCTGTGCGGTAGGAAGAGAGATGTCTCCCATTGACAACCTTGCAAGCTCATTCACGCCTAACAAGTCAAAGGGGGAAACGGTGGATATTTTGGCTGACTCCAGCCCATCAAAACCAGCTGTCGCTATCCGAGTGCCGCTGTTCAGGAAATCCTGTTTTGCTGACGACATAGACGCGGCTCAAACTGCAGACGTCTGCAGTATAAGGTGCACCCTGTGCTCTGGGCGTGTGGCATTCTCATCTAAACCACAAAGGAGACTGGCCAAAAGGGTTTCCTGACCAGCATGGCCAATGGATATAATACCTTCGGGAATAAGCTGAATGGCGCTTGCAGCATCATTACCCACCACACAAAGAAACCTAGTAGTAACAGGCTTCTCAGGCATTTCCCATCCCCTCTAGTCAATACTGAATGGTTTTGTAAGGCTGATAACAGGCATCATATTCATTTCTGAAGTTTGTCTGATCTACTTTGGAAATTATTCCCAGTCAAGACAAAATCACTACTGATCAGCATTTTTCATTTCTCTGAAATTACCTTCCAAATCTATGATTGTGTCTGTCATTTTTTGATCTTTTGAGAGACCTACATAGTTCATCCCCCCCTTTGTTGTAGCTTATCACATGCAATTGTGCTATCTATCTTTCTTAATTTTCTTACTGTAAAGAGATTTTGCATAAACCTCTTGGAGCTTTTTCTGAAACTGTGCTCGTGTTTAAGCACTGCTGGAATTCAGAATTTAATGTAAGAGGCTTATTTTATACAAGCTTCACTTTTTACCACCATTAATGGTTCATGTGCGTTTTATTATAAATCTTTGTGATCACTGATAGATTTTCAAATATTATACAATATTGCTTGTTGGGTCTGTTATAGACTTCTTACAGTCTAGTATTAAAATCATAGCCAACAAGTAGCTTCATCAATGCTACTAATTAAATGTTAGCCTTGTTTGACTAACAGCCTTCACTCTAGTTGTGAGGACTCATGTGATGAGTCTTAGCAAATTACTCTGGTGCTTGCTATCTGCAGCTGAGATGAGTGACTGAGATGGCCTCTGAGTCTAAACGGGACAATGTCTGTTTTGTGCACAACAGTAATCCCTGTTATTATCCAGATTCCTGCCTGAATGGCTATTACCTGTGCCTTAAGTTAACTTTGTCTACCCCTGAAGAGCATCTTGATGATGTGAAGCAGCCATCCATCACGAGCCTGTGGCCTCACTATGCAAGGGATCAGATAAAGCAGCGAGAAACTGCTTCACCAGTTGAATGCATGGGGAAATTTAGGTAGAGCAGCTCAGTATTAACAACTCTTAGTAACAGTGCCATACTTCCTTAAACAACCAAGAAGTCAGGACCTCCACTGCCCCTGGCTTAATGTCTCTTCCAAAGGACAGAACCTCCTACAGTTTACCCTGGCAAGCACACTGGAAACATGAACAACTTGATAGAATTCCAATATGGCTCAATTGCTAGAGTAAACGGTTTCTGAGGTGTACTGGAAGGTAATGCACATACAGTACACCCACAAAGTCTAAACACACAGGGAAGTTATGTACATTGTAAAAGGGCAGCAGCTGAAAACAAGAGGCAGATTCTTGTCTAAACCACATTTCCCAGAGAGCAATGGGGAATAACCTACTGTCCTCTGTCACCTGACAGATTGGAAGAAGTCAAAATGGAGTCTTTCTATTGGGCTGTTGACCTTTGCAAGACAGGAATCTAGTAGAAGCTCCAGTTATACACAGCACCAAAGGGAGAAGGCAGCCAAGAATGAAGTGACAGATGAATGGGCCTATGTATCATTGAGATGTGGCTATTGTGTGAGTGTTTCAGTTTTTGAGGAAGAAATATTATCCTTTTTATAGACAGAGTTTGATGTTTTAGGGAGATTTTGTGAAGCTGGTAAACAGCTGACCTTCCCATCTTAACTCTCTTACACAGAGGGTAAAAGATGTGTAAGTAGACCTCAGACAGGTTTTTGTTTTGTGTTTTTGGGGTGTTCATTTTTTATTCCTCTCACTTCAAAATAAAGAGCACTATTTGGTTGGCCTGTGGCCTGTGGTGTATTTGTGTGTCTGTTTCCCTGAGACCCATCAATTCAAAGAGAAGCTGTTAAACTGGTTCAGCTAAGCCAGTAACCAGTTGGCTCAGCCTATTAAAAGCTGAGTTAAAATGAAGACCTGCAGACACACTGATATTCCATAACTAGGATTGCCCATCACTGTCTTACAGTGAACATCAAATAGAACTATAAAAACAAAGCCGTAACGTGCATATACAGTATAGTTACGCACAGCATAGGCCATAACAGTACATACTGTAAAAAAATCTACTAAGCTTTGTAAAAAAAAGCAAATGAATGTTCGGCAATGTAGTGCAGCCCATACTTATGGTCTAGTATTAGACAGTCTAGTATCAGCACATGTAAGGTTTAAAACATTATGGCATTTCACTAAAGACAGGGAACAAAGAGTTCAACACTATTAAATTGTCTGTGGATAAACAGGAGAGTATTTTACATTATCCTGCTTATTACATCTGGCAGGAAGTTCTGTGAGCAGCAGAGAAAGAGCTAGACGTACTCTGAGTAGCTGGCCTTGCTCCAGATGTCATGGCATGTGAATGGAGCATTAGCAGGTGTTGAGCTCTCAGCTCAGGGATCCCCTGTGTCTGCACCATCTCTCTCCCAGAGGTGCCTGATGATATGATTGTCATTGAGCAGTGTTTGCTCATCTGGAGTGGATTCTCTGGGGCTGGAGCACTTCCATGGGTCAGAAAAAGTGAGAGAGAAGTGGTGAGGATTGCAAGATGGGGAAGGAGAGGCAGGGTAATGTGCAGAATAGTTTCTATGCTGCACCATCCTGACCTTATGACTAAACTGAGTGAACGAACTCCAGGGATGTTGTTTTCTGATAAAGGAAAGCTGCATACTGTCCTTGAATTTTCATTCCTTAAAAAGCTAGCTTGCTCATGATTATGTAAGTTGAAGAGCTATTAACTGGATTTTTTTTAAAACTTGTTAATATTTGTATAGTGGGATATTGTAATTGCAAGTGCACTGTATTTGCATGTACTCCCACACAGAGACCTATGGACCCTAATAAAGTATACTCCTACATTTACCCAAAGATTGAAAGACTGATTTAATGCACTTTGATTCTCCATTTTAACACTAGATAAAAACTCTAGATATGAAACCACGGAAACTTTTCTACATAGCCTATTTTTTTTATTTACCACTGTGAGCTGTGTAATACATCCAAGGTTCTTTGGAATATGACTACATTAACCACAAATTTTTATTGGAAACATTAAAATGCCCAGATATATAACCATTTGACACAGATTCCTGTGGTTCAATCACAAAATATGCAACATGACTCTGAAAGCTATCATGAACTAGAACTATAATTTTTTATGCACGTTTAGGTTGTTTTCTTCTCTTCTGTATCCAGCCAATTTGTTTTGGTTATGAAAATCCAAGAAAACCACATTTACTTACATAATGAATCACTTTCAGCTGGAGAGAGGCTGCATCAAGGTCGTATAGTTCACCTGCCAATAAAGAAAAGACCAAATAAACACAATGAAAGGAAGAAGAGATCAGTGCTTGTCTCCTGGTTTCACAGGGGAGATGCTGAAATTATTACAGGCCAGAAACCAAGAATCTATTTTCCTACATGCTACAACAGCAGAGCTAGGCTAGGTAAGGATCAGTGCTTAATACCATCTCAGTAAAGGAATTTAGATAAAATTATTCAATTTCTATTGAAATGATCCAAGATATTTCACAGTTTTGTGTATTGTTACTACAAAATATAACCTCTTGAGTGAAATCAATATGACAGAGTTGTTATAACATAATATATTTTTATAATGAATGTCATTAATTTAGGAAAATATAAAAAATCTGCTTTAACATCAGAAGAACCAAAGGTTCTAGGTGATCTAGTCAAATCTGGGAACATCAAAGGTAATCTAGGTCCCAGTAAGTGGAGTTGGTGGAGCAGTAGATGGTCTTGTTCTTTTCTTTTACTCTTCTGTATCCACAGAGAGTGACTGGGGACACTGTGCTGCAGGAGGTGCTATCCTTCAGATGAGGTGTTAAACTGAGGTCCTGGCCACTTGGTCATTTAAGATCCCATGTCACGATTTGTAAGAACAGGGTTGTTAGCCCTAGTGTCCTGGCTGAGTTCCACTCAGGCTTTGACACAATCTGTCCTTTCTAAATTGTCGTCTTAATTCAAGTCTTAAAGTATTTTCTCACTAATCTCATGTTGTGTAGTGGTCTTTCTGGTACACAACAGTTGTCAGGCAGCACATCAGTTTTGAATGAAGGTGGTCTATCAATTCATATTGGGTTGAATCTCAAATTCTATGTGCAAATTGCTGTCCCTGAGGTCTGCAAACATGTACAGTAAGACCTGCCCTTTAGCACACATTTACTTTTTCCTACTGCCCTACATTACTATTTCTACTGGGTCATAAAATGTACAATATACAGCACTGCTGAATGAGCCTTCGCTTCTAAGGTAATGATCCTGTAACCATCTTATATCTATTGTTGAGCCATGACACAAATAAACTCTGACTCGGCAGTAGCACCTTTCCCCATGTCATTTCTTCACACTGAGCGTGCAGACATCTTTTCAGAAAAACACAATTTTGTCTGGATTCATAAATAAGTAACCTCTGTAGAAGCCACACTGAATCAACTGCAGCACCTCTAATAAGAAGCACGGTGGACAAAAAAAGGAATGAAATGAAACGTAGGACACATAAAACAGCTTCTTTGAGTGGAGAAAAAAAAGTAAAATCATGACTGCATTTCATCGGGTCTACTCGATTTGCAACTGGCATCGGATCAGAATGAAACTCAACCATTAGGGAGAGACCATGTTACAAAACCACAGTTTAAAAAAAAAACAATGTCAAAGATCTTTTCACACTATAACAACCTGAGTTATTATTTCAGCTAAATGTCTTTCAACATGCTAACGTTTTAAACAATTCATATGAACATCAGAAATTTTGAAAAAAGAAAATGTACTTTGCAAAGTCCAAATGCTATTGACTTTACCATATTTGTGTTTACCTAAAGAAACTCCAGACAGGAATTGAATTTTGCAGTGCATCCATTTATCAAAGAGCAAATGAGCTGCAATTTGGCCGAATGTGGATGCAATATTGTAGACGGTTCATTTAGATGCCTCCATTCTGGAATTTCACATTTCAGTCTTCCTCTGCTTCAACATGACTTAACATTGAACTCGCTCCACTAATAGGTCTTTTTGGTGTTGTGCCCAGTAACATTTCTCTGATCAAACTGCTGTCAGACTCTCTGACTTTTGCGACCTTACTTCAAAGACTTCTATTTCTGTCCAGCTTGAGGCAACCTGCCCTGTCTTCATCAATAGTAGATGTAATGCATTTCCTCAAACCATTGCAACTCAAGGATGGACAAATACATGCCATTCAGTGTGGCGGGCCTTTTTTGCATTGAAGTGAGCAACTGCAGTCCCCTTGGACTCTTTACTACTAGTCTTTTCTCCAGGTCATAATTCGCATTACCAGTTTGTTGCTCTGTATCGATTGGTGTGTTTGTTGTTCTTTTTCCATCCTTGTTTTGTTTCATTTAGTTTTCTATTCCCATACATGCTGCGGCTTTTTCTTTACTGTAGAACAATAGTCCTGCACTGTTAATTGCTGTTTGTAGATCTGTCTGCTTCTCCCAACAAAATCCACAAAAAAACGCTGTCGGTCCTAGTTTGTATCTAGCTAATGCTAATCATCTGTTATTCAATGTAGTTGTACCTGTGTTGACAGTGTGCAGGTGTGCCCAGAAAGTTTCTCTCATTTTTCAGTTATTAATGAAATAATCACCTCTTGTCAAGCTTCTTGAACATTAACTAGAGAATTCCAGTTGCCAATGCTCAGTTAAACCATCTAGTTTCCATGCTTTACTGGGCAAAAGCTCTATTCTCTGACTTTCATAGAGAACATACTGTATGTACAGTATGTGTGTATTATTTTCCTTGTTATACTACCTATCTTATATATTGCTGTGACTTCTTAATTGTATGTTAAAAAGCAACTCAATATTCATACCACACAGCTGCAGAATCTTGCGGTCTAATTCATTGTAAGTTCCACCAGGGGTTGACTCTGATTTGTTGAGGGAATTCTGGGATGGCGTCTGATGGAAGTTGACTTGTGGCCAGGGTGAAGTCTTCTGCAAAACGTGGACTCTCTTATAAGCCACTGTAATCTACAGGTGAGGAATTGAACACAAACATTCACTGATCATATGGATGGAAAAAAAATCGTTTGCCTTCTGGGATCTATCTTCCAGAAAAAAGTGTGAGATGAAGGCAATGTAATATTTTTTATTCATTTAATTTTATATGGTTAAGTACAAGCACTGGGTAATATTGAGGGATTCATCAAAGCTGCCTTTAAAATGAAGATGACACAAGAAGATGAAGTTTGCAAACCAGGGAAGTCATTTGGGCATTGTAGCTGAATGGATTTTTAGTAGTTACTGTAATTGATAGTAGCTTTGATAGCAATGCTATGTAATTTTGACTAGATCCCTACAATATTCTGTATAAAGAATTTCTCCCTGTTCTTAATTTTTGATGAACCTGTTCTTAGTTTCCATTTGTATTATCTGGATGTTTTTTCACTGTTAATTTTGTGTTAGAGACTATACAGCAGACGTGGTCCACACATTTGAGGATTTTATGTATCTAAAATAAAACAAAATTATAACGTTTTCACATAGATGTCTCTGGTCAAGACTTTTCTTTAGCCTATATTTTCTTAATTTTAAGGTTGAAGGTGCTAACCAACAATATTGTTCTCCAAACTTTCTGAAACAAATGCACTTTCATTAACATTGGACTTCACACAGTAATCTAAGGTGTGGCTTGTTCATGTTACAGACATGCTGAATAGTTACTCCAGCTGAAATGTGCCAGTATTATGTTACTGAGTCTACCTGAGTGGAATATTTTGCAGTTGTTTTTTTTGAACAGCAGTAGATTTAAGCAGCATTGCAGGTCAGATTGGAGTTAAGTGTATTAAGCACAAAGTTGGTATGTAGCGATGTCAAGTGAGGTCACAGACACACATCAGACAGTCTATTAATGCAGTTACACTTTATAATACAAAATGCCCTTTAGCTTAGCTTATATTCTTGAGTCAAAATACTGAATCTGAGCCCACCCATGTGTATTACTTATCATTTAATTATTTCAGCTAGGTTTTCCTGTGGTTTTATAAATGATATCCTTCTTTGACCTTCTTTTGTTAGACTCTCTGCTTCATACCAGATCCACCAACATTTATTTTCCTTTTTCTTACATATATTGTATGACACAAGTTTTATAGTACAGCATGTGATATGGCTAACAATTTCCCTTTTCAGGCACTTTATCTGATACAAAATGATATTCATTAAATATTTTAATTAAAGATCCACTGTTATTTCTTTCCTACTGATGATCATGAAAGGTCGTTTTTCAGTCTGATAAGAGCAGAGGCCTTACTCTTATTTTCAGGAGTAAAAGGCCTAGATTTGCATCACTCAGGCTGTGTCCCAGGCAGACAGAATTGATAAAGATTTTTGCATTTGCATATCCTATTGAAAACTTGTCTATTGACTTTCCCCACAGCATAATATTCATTTCTTGTAATCTTACAATGCAATCAATCTATTCTCATTCAGATTTAGGTTTAATTATTAGTCATGTTGGACACACACAGACATGTAATAACATCCAAACATACATATTCTAACTGTTTCATCCAATGTGGGGTAACAGGGGAGCCGGAGCCTATCCCCTGAGGAAATGGGTGCAAGGCAGGGTACACCCTGGACACGATACTTGTGCATCACAGGTCACAGTGACACAGACAAGCTCACACCAGGCCCAGTTCTTACAGAAGCCAACAACCTACAAGTATGTTTTTGGACTGTGGGAGCAAACCAGACACAAGAGAAAACCCACGCAAATATGAGGAGAACATACAATCTCCATACAGATAGCATCCTAGTTTAGACTTGAACCCAGGGTCCCAGCTCTGCAAAGCAGCAATTTTACCCACTGCAGCTGTGTGCTGCCAAAATGAAAAAAAACGTATACAGTAAATCTAAATACACTATAGTATTATGTATTTATCTGTGACACATACAGTACATAAAAGAAGTACAGGAAGCTCAGAGCTTTTAAATGCAGGCAATTAGGCACAAGCTGTTAATACTGTACATGGTATAAACAGACATATGTATGGCTCTCACACAACCATATCTCTTACATGCTTTTCCAGAACATTTAGGTGCTGCTCATCCAATTCGCTCAGCTGCTTGCAGCAGACCTGTACAAACAAGAACAGAAAGGGTTTCAGCCTTGGCAAAAACAGCATCTGAGATAATTATACTGTACACCTGATTTATTCCTCAGCACTTTTTAAGGTATTTCCTTACAGCTATGATTTCTTACCAGGATTGCTCCTGCCTGAAATGAAATGTATAACTGGGACCACTTGACAAAGATGTTCACAACGCATTTACAGACACATAACATTACATTAACCATATTTACAGATAAAACTATTTGTAACGAGTACATAGTGTATTTTTGTGCTAATCAGTTCCTGGTTTAAGTAAAATGTTTTTTTCCACATTTCTCAAAGCAAATAGCCTTTTTTAAGTGCATGCTTGTTTCTGTCTAATATAATCATCATGTACTGTGTGGTTATACAGTACTAACCAATTGCTGTAACTTATGCGGTGGTGCGTTGGCTATGTGACTAAAGATCTGTGCCTGTGGCTGGAAGGTTGCCAGTTTGTATCCCGTGGTCGGCTGGGGAATCCTACGTCGTTGGGCCCCTGAGCAAGGCCCTTAACCCCAACTGCTCCAGGGCCACCACATAAATGGCTGACCCTGTGTTCTGACCCCAAGCTTCTCTCCCTGTCTGTGTGTCTCATGGAGAGCAAGTTGGGGTATGCGAAAAGACAAATTCTTAATACAAGAAATTGTATATATATATAATTGTATATATTGTATAATTGTATAAAGTGATCTTATCTCATGGTTTAGTATCTTCAGAATAAAACATTGATTCATGAAGTCACAGAAAAATATTCTTCTCCTCTGCTTTTCTACCCTTTCAGTATGAAGCCTATTCCTTCAATAGCCTACCTTCTATACCTCAGCCTTTATTTATAAAGACTGCCTTCCACTTTTTACTAAGCGTGTCTAGAGGCTTATCATGAAAAGAATCATCCCAGAGTGATTAGGTGCACTATTGCACTCTCTTGTCCTAAGATGAATAACACAGCATAGTTTAATTTCAGACCTCTGAAACACAGCTGCAAACTGTCACATTGAGCTATGCCTCACAAGCCCCAGGAAAAACCAAGGAAGTCTAGAATCAAACTCATCTGAAAATCCTACACTATTAAAGAATAAGAATTGCTACAGTACCTTAATGCAAGATACTGAAATTTTGTCCACATACAGCAAGTATGTGGACAAAATTACAACCACGTTTCACTGGGCCCCCAGAGAATGCTATCCAAGATATCTTTAAAAGCTGCAAGATTTCAGTTTCCTTGAACCAGCAGTCCCTCTTTGTTTCCTGCCCTGTCATGAGATTTAACGGAAGAATGCTCAGAAGTCCTGAAAGCTTTGTTTGTGAGCTGTGTATGACTTTGGAGTTACCTTACACAATATAGGGCATCTGGATTTCCTTAGAATTGTAACTAATCGCATTGCACCTTAGATGTATTTTAAAAAATTCTCAGCTCATTAAGCAGCCATTAGGACTGATTCATCCACGGTGCGACAGGGAGCGCTACAGGAGGTCATTCTTGCCGTCTGCCATAAGACTGTACAACGCATCCACTTTGGGTCTTGGCAGAGGCAACAGCGACAGTGACCTGTTTCTGGACTAAACGCATATACACATCTACTGCTACATCTGTTCTCTTTCTTTTTCTTTTTCTTTTTCCCG